AGCTGGCTTCTTGCTGGGCTGTCATATGGTGCAGCAATTAAAGAAAATTGAAGTTAAAGTAGTGGAAACCATTGAAGGAAAGGAGGAACTCTTAGGGAAAATGAAAAACTCTCTGAGGAGGGAAATGTATTTATAATACAGTACTTGGTTAGTCAACAGACAGCAGTTACATACAGTCCAACAGTGTCACACTGATTATTTATTCAACTCAAAGTAGTGGTAGATCTACCTATATTGCAAGAGTAGAAAGAAGAGACATATTGGGGGAAGTTCCAGAGCCACATCCTAATCTGCCATAGCTTGAGTAAATAGGCAGTGTCTAAAATGGATGTCAGAAAATTGTAGGATAAGCACAGTATTTCAAGAAATGGCAGTAGCTATCTAACAGAAACAACCAAGAGTTGAAATTAATTACCTCTGAGTATTAAGACTGGGTGTGGGGAGTCTCACCCAAACAACAGGGAGACAGTTTTTCATTATTGCCTTTCAGTACTATTTGATTTTCTGAATACAGGCAAGAATTAGTTGGATAAGAACTGTTATAAATTCAAAAAACTAAGTAATATATGCCGGTTATAAAACATACTGAATTAAAAAGGCATGAGTGAATGACAGTCACAGTAGTTCCATCACTCAGAAGTGACTACTGGTAGTTTTATATATGTATAGCCTTCTAAACGTGTGTTTATTTATAAACATATATTGAATATTCTGCAACAGTTTTACAGTAATGATTACTGTACACTAACGTGTTGGGCCATGCCTGTGTCACTTAAATATATCATGGTTTTCTTCATGTGTCAGTGAGTCTAGAGTTGCACCACTGTTTTTAATGATTAAAGAGTGCTCACTTTTATAGATGTGTGTGCCAGAATTTATCCAACGAGGATACTTCTAGTTCTTCACAGTTTTTAATCACACATCTCTAATAGACGCCCTTAAAGAGGTTGGCCCAGACCTGTTTTGCTAAGAGTTTCTTTCCATCGGGGATGAGGACCTGACAGCCATGGTGTTATTCTCTGACTCTTTCCCCCTGGGCCAATCAGATTGTCTCCCAGAAATCTGAAAATAAAAATTCATACATGCTCTTCCATCTCCATTAAAGGAAGTGTACTGAGAAACGGAGGTGAGGGGCCTTGAAGCCCCAGAGAAAGACACATCAGGAGAGACCGACACTCACATTGAAGCCAGCTTGCTTCCTGATGGTTTTTCAGTATCTAATTTATGCAGCAAACATTTGTGAAATGCCTTTTATATGCCAAATACTATAGTAAGGATACAGTGATAGGAGAAACAAGTAGACAAGTTCCTTGCCTTCTTGTAGCTTTTTTCCTAATGGAGAAGATATGGCAAAAATACAAATATGCAGCATGGTAAGAACTGCAGAAGTAAGTAGAGGAAGTGATAGGGGAAGGAAATCAAGGAAAGCCTTTCAGAGATTACTTTTCTGGGAGGGCTTCCCTGGTGACTCAGTGATAAAAGAATCCACCTGCAATGCCCGAGAACTGGGTTCACTCCCTGGGTTGGGAAGAGCCCCTGGAGAAGGAAATGGCAATCCACTCCAGTATTCTTGCCTGGGAAATCCCATGGACAGAGGAGCCTGGAAGGCTGTAGTCCATGGGGTCGCATAGAGTTGGACATGACTGAGCGACTTAAACAACAGCTTTTCTGCTAAGACCTGGTGAGTGAAGGGTAAGCCAGACAAGGTAAAAGCTAGGAGAATAGTGTTGTTTTGGAGATTGGAGACATGAGAGATCTTGGCACATGGAAAAGTAAATTTGAAGGCCCTAGGATGAGAAAGAGCTTGATGTGTCTGAGGAACAGGAAGGAATTTGGTGTGACTGTTGTGCAAGAGCGTAGGGGGACTTAGTTTGAGGTGAATGTGAAGATGCAGGGTAGAACCAAAGCATGTGAGGAATTTGGACTTGACTTTAAATGCAGTGAAAAGCTTCAGTAGAGAAGTGCCATGATTTTATTTTTAAAATGTCTCTTATGAGTCATGACTGTATTTCCTGCCCTTGGGCTCTGTTAGATATCCTTGTTAAATTCATCTTGAATTCTCCTTTTTAAATAAAACAACTTAAGCTGGTTTGAGTAGATTTCAGTTACAGTTCCTTGCACCCAAAAGACTGGGTTAAGACATCTTCATTATCTTTGCGTATACAACCCTGACCCATTTCACAGCTTTCATTATTTTTGTTTGTTGGCTATTTTCTTGGCTTTTTAAAAAATTTCCTTTTCGTGACCTTCCTTACTCTTTCTCCTGGAGAGTTTGACTTTTTCTTATTGTTATCTAAGGAATCTTTGTATGTTGTCAAGAGTAAACTTTTGTCTTTTGTATTCATTTTTTCCCGTTAGGTGTTTGCCTTGTAACTTTGCTCCTGTTAATTTTTGACACTCAGAACTTCGTTTTGTTTTAAATAACAGCTTTAGTAAGATAAAATTCACATAAATTTACCTTCTAAAGTATACAGCTCACGGATTCTTAATATATTCACAAAGTAAATCGATCACTTAATTCCAGAACACCTTCATCCCGACAAAGAAATCCTATACCCAATAGTAGTCATTCCCCATTCTTCTCTTGTCCAAGCCCCTGGAAACCATTAATCTACTTTCTGTCTCTGTGGATTTATGGAACCTGTTCTGGGCATTTCATGTAAATAAATTCATAAACTTTGTGGCCTTAGCATAATGTTTTAAGATTTATCTGTGTCATAGCACATTTCAGTACTTCACTCCTTTTTTATGGTTAAGTAATATTGCATTGTGTGGACATACCACATTCTGTTTATCCTTTGACAGTTGATGAGCATTTGAGTTATTTCCATTTGTTGGCTATTGAGTTTAATGCTGTTGTGAACATTTGTATGTACAGAAAGTTTTGACTTGTAGTTTGGTTTGGACAGTGTTCCTCTTTTCTTTTGCAAAGAGTACCATCTTTCTAAAGTATTTTCATGATTAGATTATTAAATTTCAATCTTTACTCCTTATGAAAATTCATTTTGGTTTAAGATTTAGAAAAAGAATATTATTTTTCCCAATAGATGTTCCTAGATAATTTATTAACTAATTTATCCTGCCCTCACTGATTCAAAATCTGTTTATATCAAAATTTAAAATGTATATTGGGAAAATATATTTCTGAATTTTGTTTTATTCCATTGATCCTTTAATATTGTATTGTGGTCTTCCTTTGTAATTCTGGTAGTTTTGCAATACCTTTTAAGATCTTTAAAGAGTATATTTTCGTTTTAAAAAGTGACAGGGTTAGCCCCTCAAGACATTGTGCTATATATTAATATTTTTGTCAACTTCTAGGAAAAAAATCCAGTGAACTCTGACCACAATCATGTTAAAGTCACAAGGTTAGGAAAAAATTGTTTCTTTTGAATCTCCCGCTGCAATATGGCATGTCTCCTTTATTCGGGTGTTTCTTTTATGTACCTTATCCTGTGGACTGGGCCTCTCTGGTGGCTCAGACAGTAAAGAATCCGCCTGCAATGAGGAGACTTGGGTTCGATGCCTAGGTTGGGAAGATCCCCTGGAGGAGGGCATGGCAGCCCACTCCAGTATTCTGGCCTGGAGGATTCCATGGACGGAGGAGTCTGGCGGGCTACAGTCCTTGGGGTCGCAAAGAGTCAGACATAACTAATCTCAGCACAGCATGTATCTTCTTTGCAAAATGAATTTCTAGATATTTATTTTTGTTGCTGTTGTAAATGAAGTTCCCTGCCCCCTTTATAGCCTTACTGGTCATTTCATTAAAATCCAAAAGCTTTGCTTCGGCTGTCACCCAGTTTGTTGAGTTTTTCTTAATTGTAGTGGCTTTTGGTTGGTTCTCTTGGGTTTTCCCATGGAGCAGACAGAGTGTTATTGTTACCAACAACAATAAAGTAGGGGAAAGTGGTCTGAAGGAAAAAGTTTAGTGTGTTAATGGAGAGCAAAGCCTTATTTTGCTTGGCAGGTCAGAGAAGGCCTTTTTGAGGAAGCATCATTTCAACAGAAATCTAAAGACTGCAGTGGTAGTCAGCTAGACAGTGGGAGGAAGAGCTAGACAGGGGGCATCAGCACGTGTGCCCGTCTGGAGGAACATGTGTGTGGGGAGTGGGAGCGGTGAGCAAGGCCGAGGGCTGAGAGGCGCTTGAGGAGTTCAGACCCAATCCTGAGTCTAGTGGAGTGAGCATCCAGAGAGGTTTCTGAATGGAAAAATATTTACATTTTTTAAAAAGACATTTCTGTTAACATGTTTTAAAGGTTCAACCAGTTACCATATGTAAAACAGCCAGCCAATGGGAATTTGCTCTGTGACCCAGGGAACTCTGACTGGGGCTCTGTAACAACCCAGAGGGGTGGGGTGGGGAGGGAGGTTCTTGGCAGGGGGGTATAGGTATGCCTGTGGCTGATTCATGTTGATGTTTGACAGAAACCAACGCCATACTGTAAAGCAATTGTCCTTCAATTAAATTAATTCTATATAAAAAAGATTCATCCAGCTGCTTTGTGGAAAATGGATTAAAGACAAACAAGGGAGGGAAGGAGTCAAGTTAGGAGGCATTTGCAGTGTTTAGCCTCAGACTTGCTTATCTTGTTCTAAGCCAATGCCACTCTTCTCTGCTCAGCCCTTCCGTCTCTATGTTGTTGTTCAGTTGCCGAGTTGTGTCCGACTCTTTGAGACTCCATGGGCTGTAGCCCTCTGTGCTCCTCTGTCCATGGGATTTCCCAAGTAAGAATTCTGGAGTGGGTTGCCATACATATCCTTTTCCAGGGGATCTTCCCGACCCAGGGATTGAACCCGCATCTCCAGCATTGCAGGAGGATTCTTTACCGCTGAGCATCTGGGGGAGCCTTCAGTCTCTATAGAGCAAAATAAAAATTTTATCGAATTGGGAAATAAGTTGTATATTCGAAATTTGAATTTCAGATTGGCCGCTAGGAGGCTAGATCTTATCATCACGTTTTATAACTTCATGAACAGCCAATCTTGATGTGTCTGTCAGGTTTCCTATGTTATTCGAGACGAGGTGGAGAAGTACAACCGAAACGGGGTCAATGCCCTGCAGCTGGACCCAGCACTTAACAGACTCTTCACGGCCGGTCGAGACTCCATCATAAGAATATGGAGTGTCAGTCAGCACAAGGTAGGGCAGGGTTTGTGTTTTAGGTCTACACTCAGTGAAGTTTGGTCTGTCTAGTATGGTTCCTCTCACAGTTTCAGATTTAATCTCTTTGAGCACTCAGTTATTTGGTACACTCTATAAATAAAGACCTTGCAACCAGAATTCAGTAAGCCTCTGAGAAAAACACCCCAGGGGAGTTTTAGAAGTGTTTTAGCTAAGGCATGGACTCCATAAACTGGGTTTGTGATAACAGCTCTTTGCTGCAAAGGAGCTTAGAGATTTTTCTGGTAGGGGAATTCTTTTCAGCAATTTATTTTTCTGTTTTAAAATGTTCCCAAAAAGCTTTCTTGGCATCCCTTTTCGGTGCTACTAAAAAAAGATTGAATATGCTTTTACATTTATAATTAACCTTGAACAAACATTTGTTTTCTTCATTTAAAAGTGATTAGGGTGGGGATTTCCCTGGCCATCCAAGACGCCACACTCCCAATGTGTGTGTGAGGGGGATTCAATCCCCAGTTGGGGGACCTAAGATCTTTCATGCTGACAGTACAACCAAAAAAAAAAAAGTGGTTACTGTACCCACAAGACCCTTAGGGTCTTATTATATAGTATAAAGTTGATGTAAAATTATGAAAACAGGAAATAAAGCTTAATGATATGTAAAGGTAAGTCCCCAGTCAGATGGAAAGGAGCTCTTTTTGTATTTTGTGTGAATGCCTGTATTATGAATAACATTGAAAGGAAGATTCCAGGGAGAAGGAACTCCTAGCTTTGTACCAGAGCAGCTTCCCAGATTATTTCTCACAGTAATCCTTCAAGGCAGATGTTATGATCCACTTTCCCCTTATGATGGAAAAACAGGCTAAGAGAAACCATGGTTGAATACCTAGTTCATGACAGAGAGTTAGAGCCCAATCTCACCTTGAAACACTGAGGTTAGACTTTGTCATTTTATTTTATTTTTTTATTTTTATTTATTTTTTTACTTTGTCATTTTAAAAGGCTGTGTCTTTTAGCAAGCTCTACAAGTCTGATGTTCCATCTGAAAGAGAACCACTACTTTGCACAGTTTGGATAGTTTCTTTAAATGGACTTTGGCCCAGTGAGTTTTGAATTCTTTGACCAGTGTAAACAGTGGAGGTCCCATATTAAAAACATAGAAAGTAAGAAAATTGTGGCTCTGAAATGCTTTTCAGAACCTATTTTTGAATTGGATTGTCACCTTCCTAGAGATTTACAGCGTTTCAGACAAATTAAGGAAAACACAGTAACTAACCAGGAAGAGTTAGAAAGCTGCCTATTCAGCCTTCAGACATCTCTTTCTGGTTCTCATTTTATGACAAGATTGAATAGCATCAGTTCTCAAATAGACTTGTAGAGAGCTATTCTCTTTGCCCATGAAGCGTCTTGAACTTGCCTGTCTTAGGTGCAGGCTGTAACTAAATACTCTTCTTTAAAAGTCCTCTCCTGGTAATTGAGCCCAGGGAGAGCACGAGAAAAATCTTGAGTTACTGAATTGAAATGGTGATCCTTGAGCCAATGGCTTCCATTTCCTCTCGGAAAGACTGTAGTACTGTGAGGAAATGTTCAGTTCACAGGTAAAAACAACAGTAGGAACTAAGGGCAGAAGTGGGCATCTTCGTCTGCTGTCCAGCTAGGCGTCTCACCACTCTCAGCAGCTTCCTTTCTGTCCCCGCTGTCTGCTTTGAACCTTCACCACTGCTGAGTCAGATCCCCCAGCTCTGTTCATGTCTCATCCTTTCTAGTGAACCCCTTCCTGTTGCACTCGGGTCATATACAGGGCCTAGCCCAGGTCTTGTTTTCTTCACTAACTTCAGGGCTTTGTCCTGGAAACCTAGGCTTTTGTCAGTAATAAAACTGTTCTGAAAGAAAACTTCTGTTTACATCTGCCATATGGAAGCATCAATCATTTGGTGAAATTCTACTCTGAATTCAGTTGTAAATTTGAAGACCTTAGAGAAGTGTGTCACATTAATTGAAGAATCTAAACATAATCATATTTTTGTGATATATTTGTGACATATTTTATCCTCTAATACACTAAAGACATTTTTATGATTTATCTTGTAATTTCAGCAAGATCCATATATAGCATCTATGGAACACCATACAGATTGGGTGAATGACATTGTACTCTGTTGTAATGGGAAAACATGTAAGTATTTCTTTGGATTGTTGAGCTTCTGGAAGATTTTAATTCAGTTTGATTTTTCTTTTTTTTCATTTTCTATGTAAGCCTTTTTCTTGAAGTATAACATACATACAGAAGAGTACACATATCCTGAGAGTACAGCTCAATAAAATTTTACAAGGTGAACACCCGTGTCAAGAAAAAGATTACCCAAATCCCTCTTATGCCACCCTTTCAGTCACTGTCCCTTGTCCCAAGATCACTGCTCTCATGTCTTCAAAGCACTGTTGATTAGTTTGCCTGCGTTGTCACTGTATATAAATAGAATCGTGTGATAAGTATTTTTCTTTTAACCTGATGAGTATCTTTTTGTTCTCTTTATGGTAAGATCCATTTCTTGATTTTGCAGTCTGTGTTAGAGATATTTTTTGTAGTCAAATTAGTTGCACCTTCGGCTGGAACATTGAAGAGTTTGTCTTGCTTATTTAAAAAAATATCTGAGACAAAATATAAAAAGTTCTAGAAAGAACTTTTAGATACATATATGTATGTGTGGATATGTAAATGTTAAAATGTTTGAATTAACATTGGGAATATTATAAATATTCAATATACATATTCAAATATTTATGTATGAACATTTTGTATACATGTTTTGTATATATGAAAGTTTGAGAAAGTGTTAATTTTTTTAAGTTAATTCTTTAAAATGGTGTTAAGACACACCACTAAGGGGTTTGTTCATTCTTTGCCTCTTCTAGTGATATCTGCTTCTTCTGACACAACAGTAAAAGTATGGAATGCACATAAGGGGTTTTGCATGTCCACATTAAGGACGCATAAGGTAAGACAGCTAATGCAGTTTTCCCTGTCTCTAGTGCAATACTAGGATCTCAGTACTCTGTGTGGCTCATTTGCTGACTGGTCTACAGAGTAGATCATAATAGATATGTTCTGTTACAGGATTATGTAAAGGCCTTAGCATATGCCAAGGATAAGGAACTCGTAGCATCAGCTGGGTTGGACCGACAAATATTCCTTTGGGATGTGAATACTCTGACAGCACTGACTGCCTCAAATAACACCGTCACAAGTAAGGTGTTTGAAAAAATTTCTTTGAAAGTGATCCAAGTTGACATAAATAAAGAATGGTTTATAAAACAAATTTGATAAGTTTGCATCAAGACAGTGCTTCTGCCTATAGCATTCTAGTCCCCAAGAGTGTTTAGAAGCTAGTTCCTCACCGTGGTCTAAAAATGGTAACTTCTCCAGGTGTAACCTGACCATTTTTGTACATAGCATGTTAGCTCCCTAGCTAACACATAAGCTTCCAGAGCGCAAAAGTATCTGTCTTATTACTTTCTGTTAATATATCCTACAGCTTTACCTGGCCCAGGGCCACACTCTAGGCAGATATTACTGATGAAAGTAGTGATTACCTGGCCAAAAGTAGGCAACTCTTGACTTTTAGAAGTGTTGTGCTTAGTCGCTTAGTTGTGTCCGACTCCTCTCTTGCGACCCTTTGGAGTCCGCCAGGCTCCTCTGTCCATTAGATTTTCCAGGCAAGAATACTGGAGTGGGTTGCCATTTTCCTACCCCAGGAAAAGTGTTATTGGATACTAACAGCCTTCAAGTTGATAAGCACATGGGAAAATACCCAACGGAAAGAAAGAAGGCTTTTAGTGCCAATACTGTAGGACCCTTTCAGAGCAGCCTTAAGAATCCAGCCAATTCCAGAAGAGTGCAGGAAGGCTGATCCTAGCTTCTAGAGACCATTCAGAAACCTTCACAGAGAGTTAATAGCATGGATGCCTTATCAACTAAGATCTCAGTTACCCAATCAGACCCAGACAGGTTAGACTTGAAGTTCAGCCTGGTGTCAGTAAGGACTCTTAGGAGCATATTTTTAGCTAAGCCTGACTTAGAAGATCTGTGTTCAAGATGTGAGCCTGAACTATCTGGATCCCTGCATGATAGATCCAATTTGTCATGACCGTGTAATACTCATGTTGACATAGCTAACAGTTCTAATGTAATCTAGTATGTGTCAAGAAGAGCAGGTTGGGAGACTGGTGTTTATAATTTCTTAAATATTATTTTGCCCTTTTTTTCTCAGGAAATATGTAAAGGTTTAAACACTATTCTTCGCTTGTTCTCTGTGATTAATGTATACAGTCTCAGGGCTTCAGCAGCTGGTCCCTTCTGGGGCTGTCGTAATGCATCATTTCACTCTCTAATGTAAGGCCTGCCTGAACGAGACACTTACGAGAGGGAGTGAAGCAGAAAAAGGAGGGTGGTCCCACCGTCAGAAATGAGGCCTCGTGGCATAGATTCAGCAACAAATCTTTTCTACTTAGAATTGTTTAGAGAGGATATCAAACACGCTTTTTATCATTATGGAAATAATGATAATAGCTAACATTTATTTAGCATTCAATAGAAGCAGTTACTTTTCTAAATACTTTATATGTATTTATTCCTTTAGTCACAATCAGTATGTTTGTTTATCCTTATTATTTGTTGTAAAGTTGGAATCATACTGTATAGACAGTTTTGTGTGTGTGCCTCAGTGGTATTGACTTCTGAATGAGAGAGCATGAATATAGTTCTTGCTGCATAGTGCCTAATTTCCTTCCAGAAGAGTTGTACCAAATTATCCTTCCACAGGTAATGTGTCAGAGTGCCATTTTAACTATTTTTTTTTGAGAACTAAGTATATTGCCTTGTTTTTTACTAATTTTGTCAGTGAAAATAGTATTTTGTTTTGATTTGTAAAAAGTGAGTTTAGCTTTAGTTTTCATTTTTATTAGCACATGTGTATCTTTGAAAATATATTACTTATGTGGATAACTTTTTAAGTGGCAGTTCAGTTCAATTTAGTAAATATTTATTGAGCACTTGTGTATGCTCAAATCCAGAAGGGATGTAAATTTTACTAGTATTATTTAGAATTATCTCATAATAGGTAAATTTCTTTTCCTTAAGGGTCCTCATAAAGATAAGATTTTCTCAATCAAATATTTAAACTTGCAGTTTGTGCTGACTAGCTACTAAACAGCTGATGATTTTAACATTTAGCTCCATTTGTTCTTAATAGCTTCTTCCTTAAGTGGGAACAAAGATTCCATTTATAGCCTGGCAATGAATCAACTGGGAACAATCATTGTATCAGGGTCCACTGAGAAGGTAAGGGGGAACTTCAGGGGTATATTTTAACACTGGAAAACAAAGAAACCAAAATAATCTGATCTTTGTAATTACAAAATATGTAGACAGTGGTTTTGCCTGGTGGATACTAAAAATAAAGGCTTTATTTGAACAAATAAGGGTATAACTGTATAATTACTGTCATGTGTGTGGTGCCAGGGGCAGAGGGTGGAGTGGGGAGGCCTGTGCATTTTTCGCATTAAAGAGGCTTCCTCCCACTTAAAAAGCTGGGAGCCTTGGACACTGGGGCACTGTCTGTTGGCTGAAGTAGTACTGCCGTCACAGAGCTTGATGGTTACCGTTTGATTTATAGAAGTCGTCTGTTATTTAAATTTTATTGTTTGTATGATACGTTGTATGATTCACAGGTTTTAAGAGTATGGGATCCGAGAACATGTGCAAAACTAATGAAGCTGAAAGGGCACACAGATAATGTTAAAGCATTGCTGTTGAACAGAGATGGCACACAGGTATGCAGTTCACAAGAGCATTTACCTGCTGACCTTGTCAGAAATGTCACACAGCAGAAGCTCCCTCACTTTCTGTATTGTTGCATAGTTGGTTTAAACCAAAAGCTACACGCATTACAAACTCTGGTCTGATTTTTAAATCCTTAAGCTACTCAGTTGCACATATAATAATCCACATTTTGAAATTATCTTGTTTGCATAACTTTTAAAGAAAGGCCAAGGGATATCCTAAGAATAATTCTAATGCAGGTGAGTATCTGCAATTATGTTTTCTTTTTTTTTTTTCCATTTATTTTTATTAGTTGGAGGCTAATTACTTTATAATATTGTAGTGGTTTTTGTCATACATTGACATGAATCAGCCATGGATTTACATTGCAATTATGTATAGACTAAAATAAGGGCTTCCCAGGTGGCTCAGTGGTAAAGGATTGCCTGCCAGTGCAGGAACTACAGGAGATGCGGGTTTGATCCCTGAGTCAGAAAGATCTCCTAGACGAGGAAATGGCAACCCACTCCAGCATTCTTGACTGGAAAATCCCATAGAGAGAAGAGCCTGGCGGGCTGCCGTCTATGAGGTCTCAAAAAGTCAGAACTGAGCATCCATCCATAAACACACACGTATATATAGGCTAAAATAATTTAAAATGCTTCCTTTTTTGATGCAGAAGGAATCTTTGGTATTGAATGCTTTCTGGCAGCGGAAAATATCCTCACAGTGGGTCTGGTTTCTTAGGCAGGTCTTGTCCGTTGACTATGTAGATATGGACTGTAGTTCTGTTATCTAACATCGAACTTAAAGTCAGCATTTCAAAGAAAAACATTTTGGTAATGTTCGAACATGTATTAATATTCAGCCACATAATTTGTGAATTATAAGTCACAATTCTATCTGTTCTATAGCAGTAGAAAAATGATCTTTCATCAGTGTAGACAGTAAAAAACAAAAACTGAGCACCATTTTATGTTATGACACACCTCTCCCGTGGACCGCTGCCGTTTTTTTCATAGGCAGGGATCATTGGAATTGATTGTGATAGGGTTGGAAAAGGGAGAGTACGAATGTGACAGGATGAGAAATACCATCGGTCCATTACTCCCATGAACTTTATTTGAGTGTTTCTCATGATGTACTCTGCGTATAAGTTAAATAAGCAAGGTGACAATATACAGCCTTGACATACTCCTTTCCCTATTTGGAACCAGTCTATTGTTCCATGTCCATTTCTAACTGTTCCATCTTGACCTGCATACAGATTTCTCAGGAGGCAGTTCAGGTGGTCTAGTATTCCCACCTCTTTAAGAATTTTCCATAGTTTGTTGTGATACACAGTCAAGGGCTTTGGTATAAGTCAATAAAGCAGAAATAGATGTTCTTCTGGCACTTTCTTGCTTTTTCGATGATCCAGCGGATGTTGACAATTTGACCTCTGGTTCTTCTACCTTTTCTAAATCCACCTTGAACATCTGGAAGTTCACAGTTCACTTACTGTTGAAGCCTGGCTTGGAGAATTGTGAGCATTGCTTTACTGGCGTGTGAGATGAGTGCAGTTGTGCAGCAGTTTGAACATTCTTCGGCATTGCCTTTCTTTGGGATTGGAATGGAAACTGACCTTTTCCAGTCCTGTGGCCACTGCTGAGTTTTCCAAATTTGCTGGCATACTGAGTGCAGCACTTTCACAGCATCATCTTCTAGGATTTGAAATAGCTCAATTGGAATTCCATCACCGCCACTAGCTTTGTTCATAGTGATGCTTCCTAAGACCCACTTGACTTCATATTCCAAGATGTCTGGCTCTAGGTGAGTGATCACACCATTGTGGTTATCTGGGTCATGAAGATCTTTTTTGTATAGTTCTTGTGTGTATTCTTGCCACCTCTTCTTAATATCTTCTGCTTCTGTTAGATCCATACCATTTCTGTCCATTATTGTGCCCGTCTTTGCATGAAATGTTCACTTGGTAGCTCTAATTTTCTTGAAGAGATCTCTAGTCTTTCCCATTCTATTGTTTTCCTCTATTTCTTTGCGTTGATCACTGAGGAAGGCTTTCTTATATATGGTTATAAATGCACTTCACCTCAAGGCAGCTTCCCTTACTGAAAGCACAGATGGTGATTGGTACTACTTTAAAAGCTGCCTGTCTGCCTTAGAGTGCATAATTAAGCCAGTAATTTTTCTCCTCTAGTTCTCCTTTTATCCATTTTCCTTATTGGCGATAAGAAACTAATGTAAATTTAGCCACCAACAACATGGCATCTTTACATTAGGGGATTGATCAAGAAAACACCTATAATAGCCACTTACCTGGCGAAAAGAGAGAAGGGAAAAGAAACGTTTACTTACTGATTCTTGAACTTTTGCAACATGGAAGAGACAGTTATTGGTTACTGGACCAGAGTATATATTAAATCCTGTAGAGTTGCCCTGCAGCTTCTCATGTAGGGTTTCTGGTGGCATTGTAAGTCAGGGACTTGTGATGAGATATGTATAGTAGGCCAGTGAAGCCTATTGGTGTCAGCCTATTGCCTCACTTCCTTTGTTCTGGTAGGATATTTAGCAGGTCTTACTATTTGAGGTCTCTCTTCACTGCAGCTGTTTTGATTGGCGCCAACATTCCCGGGCCAAGCCAGCTGACTTTTCATTCCTTGTACTTGCTCACTCAGTTGTTTGAGGAGATTGGGGCAAGCTGCCATCTTGTTCTGAGTCAGTCACGTCCTTGCGTGTCACTCACAGGATTTTCCTTGCTCATACAAATCTTGCTGAATCTAACTTAGAGGCCCAGGGGCTCTGTGAGCATTAGGCCGCTCCTCACCCCCGACTTGCCCACTGGGCTGCTCTCTGTTGGCTGTGTATAAGTGACCCTCCCAGAAGCACCGTGTGTTGATCAGCAGCAGTCTCGCCCCAGTACACTGGTACTTCTTATCTCTGCTGGCAGAAGCACAGAACACCTGATCAGGCTATAGGATCTGATCCCCTGAATCTGACTTAGCAGAACCATTTGGGGCATTCTGTCCTAGTCCCAGAAGCCACATCGTAATGAAGGGGTCTTCATGTTTTTCCAGTGGAAGGTTGGGGTCAGTGGGAAGTGTTTGGATGAACCCTCTAGGTCCTAAAGGACATCAGGAATTCCTGTAAAATAGGCACATCTTCTAACCATACTACTGAATACTACAAACTCATATGCCAACTTGGTGCTTTAAAAGTGATTACTGTCTATATGGGGGCCTGCTTTTTAACAGTCTTAGAATACTGATTACTATCAAAGATTATTTTGTATTCTGTATCCAGGTTGATGTAGAACTCTAATATACTCTGTATTTCCTCAACTGCTTTCAGCTGTGCATGTGGGTTTGGGATTTACCTCTTTACTATTGTAAGTTACTCAGCCTGTGAGGGCTTCCAACCCATCATCTTTGCCTTCCTTATCCTAAAGTTGTCAGACCTTATTCCCTATAGATATGCGGTCTAGGAGCTGAGTGATCAAAGCTTTACTAACAGCTTTGCCACCTCAGCAAAGCATCTCATCCTGGAATGGGGGACTCCTCCCTGCCTGCTCCCATTGCACTAGCACAGTGCTCCTACACACGTGCTGAAGGTCTCCTTACAGCCTCACTGCTGACAGTGTCTTCACTGGTTAGTCTCGGTTCTCTCGCGAACTAGTTACAATCAGGGATTAAAACACTGATGCTCTTGACAGCTTATGGGGGAGTCTGTTAGTACGATGTTTATTTAATTAAACATGTCCAGAGTTCTGAAAGCCTTTCAAGTCACAGAGCAGGCCAGTTAATCCTTAGTATTCCTGAAGGCGTCACCTGTTCAAACACTATCCAGGTCTCCCAGCCCACAACTATCTTCTCTTCTTTGAAGTTGTTTGCCTGCTTGATTTCATATACCAGCACCAACAGTTGCTTTCTCCTCAGGACTATTCCCACCCGCCCCGGCCCCCCGCCCCAAGTAAGTTTTTCTCCCTCTCCTCAGGTCACCACAGTAACTGGTAGAGAATACCAGGCCGCTGAATGCAAATGTGGGGTGGCTGGTTCTCCCTGTTTGTGTCACACGCAGTGTGCTCAGCTCTGATTTGAGTACCAGCAACTTGCATATGGTTGAGCCTTCAGAAATTGTCAGAATTGCCAATATTAGCTCTGAATGGTGAGGGTTTACATTTTGTATTAGGTGTGTTGAACTTGACGCTCATATGGAAAGTAGCCACACTCACACAGAGTGAGTGGCAAGCTGGATTTTGCATTTGACTCTTGTCAGTAAAATCCAGGAGACCTGGCGAATCATCATGAGTCCAGAGCAGTGAGGGAGAGGACAAAACAGAGGTGTGACCCAGGGCGCTGGGCTAGTGCAGTGTTTGTCAAACTTGGCGTAGCAGACAGATATGACCTGGAGAGCCTGTGAAAACCCAGATTGCTGGCCCCTACCCGAGTTTCTGCCTCATTAGGTGTGGAATGGGACTCAAGATGGTGGTGCTGCAGGTGGCCAGGCACCAAGGAAGTTTTCCTCGGAGGGTTCCCTGCTTGAGCCTGTATTGTTGCCTTTGGTCATCCCAGCCTGTGATGAATGCTGATCAGAAGTCTGTCATCAGAGGCAGGAATGCAGGTTATTAGAGACATGTTCTGACAGTATAGAGTCAGGAGAGAAGACAAGAGCAGAGCACAGGAAAGCAGGATCTGTCTTGGCAGGCTTCTGACCTTAGCCTTCTCTGTTCCCAGTGCCTTTCGGGCAGTTCAGACGGGACCATCCGCCTTTGGTCCCTCGGCCAGCAGAGGTGCATAGCGACGTACCGCGTGCACGACGAAGGCGTGTGGGCTCTGCAGGTCACCGACGCCTTCTCACACGTGTACTCTGCAGGGAGGGACAGGAAGATTTACTGCACAGACCTAAGAAACCCTGATATTCGGGTGCTGATTTGTGAAGAAAAAGCGCCAGTGCTCAAGGTATGTCCTATGTTTTGGTTTTATGATTTAGATTGTTACATGCACTAGCCAAATCCATCAAAATCGATACTAAAACCTGAGTCACCTGTTAGGTTGTAAAAAAGATACCTCGCAGCCGCCCGTAGAGGAAACGGTGACTTCTGGGAATGTCAGGGATGGATGACTGTCGCGCTGGCGAATCCTGTGAGCTGACTCCACGGTGCCCCTCAGCTCTGCTGGCTTTCCTGCCCTGTCCTTACAGGAGGAATAAGAGGAGTTCGGGTATCTGTGAGTGGACAGTGAAGCAGAAATGTGTCCACTGGGTCAGGTGGGGGTTGTGGAAGAGTGCTCCTGAAGAAGGGGGAGAGGCAGGTTCAAATTGCACACCATCACTGCCTCAGAATAGTCCTGGGAGGTGGGTACTGGAGAAGCCATCTGTATTGACACCTACTAAAAAATGAAGCCTAGCCTAAAAAAATGGCCAGTCATCATTGACAAGATGTTCAGTCTCACTGATATTCACAGAATTGCACATTAAAACAAAGGTGAGGAAATTTCCAGGTTTAAAATGGAGGCATAAAGACAGCACTCTCCCCCCTACCAACAACCCCTTCTCAGAGATCATCTGAAAACAAGGAAAGTGGGAAACAGAACTTCAAATACCCATCATCTACAAAACTAAGTGACATCTGACACTAGACCACAGTATAGGAGGAAGAGCTGAAACAGAGAATAGAGGTCAAATGAGACACTTGAGAGGATGCCTGTGGTCTAAGAGCTCGCATAATACTGGCCAAGTACAGTTCTTTAAAGCAGATGGCACAGCCTAATGAACAAAAGCCATAATCCTTTAGAGAAGCAAGAGAGTTGAGGCCAAAATCATAGAGACACAGCATGTGTGCAGGAAGCACGCTGATGGGGAGAGACAGGTGTGGAGGAGAAACTCTGCACTGCAAGTCCTGCAGCTGCCAGGATCTCTTGGCTATGGAGAAAAAACGAGAAGTATTTAGCACAGGCATAAACATAAGGAGAATTACTTTGAACTAAAGAGGATTCCTGGTTGCCAGTGTTTCAGCCCTGTCCTCATGTCTCCAAACCTGCAATTTCCTGGTGCAGGAAGAATAGTGGGCAGGTCACTTCATTTGCATAATGTGTACATAGGTGTATATTTATTTTTATATGTGCAGTATTTTAAAAATACAGGAGGACACAGTAAACTGTTCCCATTGTATAGTTGTGTTCCTGGGTGGGGAGTAGGCATGGTACATTGCATGAGTACCTTTTACTTTTGCTATCTTGTTAGAATGGTTATTTTGTTTCTTGCTACAATCATTACCAAAGAAAAAAGAAACTTATTTTCTTGTTATTAAGAACATAAAAACAAAAGAGTGGTAAAACCAGAAAGGGACAGTAAGTCATCCTTTTGACTATACCCATTTAGAACCCTTAAATTAACCACAGTTAAAACTTGAAGCCCTTGTTTTTAGTAAGATGTCACCCCATTCCATTTATATAGGGCTCTAAATTCCATTATCAGAGAGACTCTTTTCATTCTTTGCATCCCTAGCTTTTAACACATGCCTGTGGTATCATCACCATACAGTGTTGAATGAAGGAGTTGATATTTAATTTTGTTTAGCTGGTCCTGGCAGTTCGGAAGAGTCAACATTCCATACAGCGGTATTTTTGTGCCTTGTTTCAGATGGAACTTGACAGATCAGCTGACCCCCCTCCTGCAATTTGGGTTGCAACAACGAAGTCCACAGTAAATAAATGGGTAAGTGAGCCACTGTTCCAAATGCTCAGCATGAGCCTGACTCTCAGTCAGTTCAGTCACTCTCAGGTCTGACTCTTTGCGACCCCATGGACTGCAGCACGCCAGGCTTCCCTGTCCTTCACCAGCTCCTGGAGCTTTCTCAAACTCATATCCATCGAGTCGGTGATGCCATCCAACCATCTCATCCTCTGTCGTCCCTCTCTCCTCCTGCCTTCAGTCTTGCCCAGCCTCAGGGTCTTTTCTAAGGAGTCAGCTCTTCACATCAGGTGGCCAAAGTATTGGAGCTTCAGCTTCAGCAACAGTCCTTCCAATGAATGTTCAGGACTGATTTCTTTTAGGATGGACTGGTTTGATCTGGAGGGACTCTCAAGGGTCTTCTCTAACACCACAGTTCAAAAGCTTCAATTCTTCGGCGCTCGGCTTTCTTTATGGTCCAGCTCTCACATCCATACATGACTAGTGGAAAAACCATAGCTTTGGCTAGACAGCTTTTTCAGCAAAGTAATGTCTCTGCTTTTTAATATGCTGTCTAGGTTTGTCATAGCTTTTCTTCCAAGGAGCAAGCGTCTTTTAATTTCAGGGCTGCAGTCACCATCTCCAGTGATTTTGGAGCTCAAGAAAATAAAGTCTGTCACTCTTTCCATTTTTTCCCCATCTATTTGGCATGAAGTGATGGGACCAGATGCCATGACTTTCAGTAGCAGGACAAAAATCCAAAATTTAGACAGTGGCAAAAATCTGAAAGCCCCTGTGAATGCAGGTGTGAGCCTAAGGATTGTATAAAAATTAAGGTCATAGTCAAAATACAGCTTCTGACTTCTTTGTCAGGAGCCAAGATGCACATTTAATGTGCTGAGCATAGGCACTGTGCCCTGACAAAACCAGTAAAGATCACTATAACTTCTGACCTTATGAAAGTGTATTTGAAAAGAGACAGTCCAGGTACCAGTGCAGCAGGAAGCTCATTAGAATTCTGTTTTTCTAAACATAAGAGAAAGCATAATTGTTTTTTCAAATTCATTTCCTTTTTCTTCATAGCATAAAGAACAGGGATCAAAATAAAGGTTAAGCAGAGTGAAGTAAAAAAAGTATTTTTAATTAAGATTTAAGAATAAATAGTTAAGTTTTAAGTTAAGAATTAAGATTTCCGTTTTCTTGCTTACCAAACTGTGGATAACAAAAGAGAAAGTGTTTGCCTTTATTCTTATTTTATATGTTGGTCAAGTGGTCTTTCTTTGTACTTGTTAAAAAAAAAAGCATATATATCTTGTCTAAATGTCTTTGTGCCAACTTGAGATCAACATAGCTTTACCCAGAAGAGTGCCTAGTGTTCTCTCCAAAAAGACAACCTTCCCTCTTAATTTTTGTTTTATATTTTTTTGATCACAGTAGATAATTGTAGTTTGTGTCTAAGTATTCTTCAGTTGATGTTATTGTTGGGTTTTTCTCATTTGCTCTTTGTTTTTCTTGCCACTTTAAACCTTTTGAAAAGCTTATAAAGCATAAAATGATTAAATAATGAATTTTATTCCTTTAGACACTGAAGGGAATTCATAATTTTAGAGCCTCTGGAGATTATGACAATGACTGTACAAACCCTATAACACCCCTTTGTACGCAACCTGACCAGGTTATTAAAGGTAAGTAAGTACATTGGGAGGTATTGTACCTTTTATTGAGGTTAATCATAGTCACTAAGAGATTGACAAAAATAAAGGAAATGACTTTCCTTTAAATGTAATTCTGATGTCAAGAAAAGGCTAATAGTACATTGACTTATTTTTAATAAAAGAAAAAATATTTTTAAAATGCTATTTAGTGATTTTAAAAATTGGTCTTTCTTGAATTCATCTTTTTGCCAAGCATTAGACTAATAATCATGGTATTGGTGAAGCTAGCAGCCACTCTGTAAAAGATACAATGTTGTCTTTTGGCACAAGCCAGAATGGGTCAGATCTGGCCTCTGGATTCTACATGCTACAACTGGAAGTAGCAGCTCTGATTTCAAGGTCAGAGTTTGGGACTAGAGTATTGAATGATGTGTTTATCTGTAGTTAGATGTCCGTGCCACTACCATGAGGATAGGCTGTCCATTCAGGAGCCATAAAAGAGAAGTAAGATAGGAAGCAAGCTTTAGTAAGAGATGGAGCTAATTCAGAGATGTCCTGTCGTCATTTGGACTTTTCCCAGTGGGTAAAAAAATTGTTAAGATGTTTGTTCTTTAACAGTTTTCCACCAGTAGTCCCTTGATGTGAATAAAGAGTCTTTTCATCTATAATCTGTTCTTAAAATCAGACAGTTTTTCTTTGGTTAGCTTTAAATTGCCTTAGACATAGTTATATGGTCTTCTGATTTACCTTCTCCTTTCTGGGGGCTACTGTGATTTACACTTCGTTACATGTCACTTAAAATTATTGCTGTACTGTGAGTTTAAATGTAGGATTGTTTTACTAATTGGGTGGATTTTTTTTCCTTTAGGGGGTGCTAGTATTATTCAGTGTCACATTCTTAATGATAAGAGACATATATTAACCAAAGATACCAATAATAATGTGGCATATTGGGATGTATTGAAGGTGAGTATCTTTGTAATTTAATACAGGTTACTGGATTCTGTATCCCTTTATTTTTTATTGTTGTCTGTATGTATATATGTTCTTTGTGTGTATGTGTGTATATATATAAAATAACCAAGACAATAAATATATAAATAAAGATTTAAGTGCAGCCTTATTTTGGGGTATATATTCTTATGTGAATATTAAGTAAGGCCATAGTTTATCTTTTTAAGTACCCAGAATTTGAATGGAACCATTTTCTCTGTTTAGTTTATTACCAGCTGTGTTATGCTGCCTTCCCTGAAAATGAATACTTCAGAGTTCCACATCCTTGACGCTCTTGGCATTTGGGGCCCAATAAATCTGTTGCAGGACTGGGAGGGAGGATCTGTCCTGTGCATTGTAGGGTGCTTAGGAGCATCCCTCAGCCTCTGCTCAGATCCAGTAACCACCTTCATCCCCGTCCCCCACTTCAGTTGTGACAACCAAGAATGGCTCTAGACGTTGCCAGGTGCTTAGAGGGAGGGAGGAAGAAGGATGCAAAATCACCCTAGGCTGAGAATCGCTGGAGTACACAGAATAATTTTGGCTATTTCTTAGGATTTATAGCCATCACTGTGAGCATCCGTTAAGACTTTGAGTCATGTTAGAGTGACTTCTTGGATAATTGAAATGTATTAAGCTATTCAGCCACATTCTAAATAGCACTGAAGAATTTATAGACAAATCGAAAACTTTGCTTTTAGGATCCTGACATATGGCCCTTCTTCATGTTGTTGGTATATTTGTTCTACAAATATTTCTGGATTAAATGAATATTCAGTTCAGTTCAACACAGTGCAAAGAACTGTGTTGAGGGTCATAAATGATGAAAAATGATCCCTTCTGGTTGGAGGGACAGCAGAACACAGGATGGCCTACAAACAAAGGTGGTTACTTACAACTGGAAAAATCAGGAGAACTTCACGTGGAGAAATCATTTGAGCAGGGCCTTAAAGGATTCCAGCAGGTAGATTATGGGTAGATTTTAGGAGGATGGAGTGAATAACAAAGACACAAAAGAGGAAAGACGTGCTCATTGAGGGCCAGGTGAGCAGTTTTGTATAATTGGAGACCTGAGTGGATCTAAAGGAGTAGTAGGGGTTTGAGGATGAAAAGTGAGATGCATTCATGAATCTTGGCCGGTTTTTTTTAGCACTTACTAAAGATTCTTAGATGAGTTTAGAGCAGGAAAACTGTCTAATCTAACTAGCTGAAGTCCTGGTAGAGTCCTGCTATCTAAATGGGAGGTAGTTCTACTCAGATGGGGCACTTCGCTGACGTGCACCATCATTGGCATTTTTATGTCCCTGGCAGTGTCCCATATCCAGATATTAGACCTTGAGGTTTTAAGATCAGTGATCAGGCAAAATAGACATGACATTAAACAAAGGTACGGAAGTCAGGAGTGCTTTTAGGACCGTAGGCTCAGAGTTGAACAGAGCTGCATTCTGACCTTGGCTCTGCCACCTGCCAGCCAAATGATCTCCAGAATATTCTTACTTTTGTCTTTATTCCTAAAATCTGGGTCTTACCTATTTCTTGGTAATAGTAAGGGGATGTTTGAGAAGTATTTATTGTAATGACTGACACATTATAGTTAGGAGGTTGTTGCACCAATACAGTGAAATATATTCCTCTGGAGTAGGGTGGGAACAAGCAGGTGTTTTAAAAAAAAATAGAATAATTAGATATTTAAGCCTGTGGATAAGAGTGATGCTTTCTCGATGGCTCAGTGGGTAAAGAGTCCGCCTTCAATGCTGGAGACACAGAGGTGCAGGTTCGATCCCTGGGTCAGGAAGATTGCCTAGATGAGGAAATGGCAACCCACTACAATATTCTTGCCTGAAAAATCCCATGGACAGAGGAGCCTGGTGGGCTTCAGTCCATGGGGTTGCAAAGAGTCAGACGCGGCTGAGTGATTAAATACACAGGAAGAAAAGGAAGGAACAGAGATTAGTGCTTGGCTTTTGGATTAGTTTGGAAGTGTTACAGGGAACATAAGAGGAAAAAGGGTTATTGGGGGAAAGGGACAGGCTGAGAGAGGTAACAGGTTTGAGTTTATGTGGGATGTCTGGCAGAGGTGTTTGCCGGGCAGAGAGCTGTACACCCTAATATATGGATGAGAAAGCTGGGCTGGAGAAATGGCTTGGCTGTCGTCATCTGGAGATTGTAACTGGATCCATGAGAAGGTCAGTTTCCAGGAGATACATCTATACTGAAAATGGAAGAAACCAAATCATCTCCATTTCAAGAATTTTTAGAAAAAGAAGCCAAAAAGATGTATAATCAAAAAGGGGTCAGCACGCTCAGAGCCAGTGGCAGCTCAAGGACTAATTGTCTCAGAAAGGAGCTTGTGGTAAGCTGAGCTAGCCTGCTGAGAGTTTGCGTGAGATAACAGAATGGAGCATTCATGTGGATCTAGTCAATGAAGAGGACGGTGTCTGGGAAGGAAGTTTCTGCCAGATGGAGTGGGTTGAGTAGTGTTTGGGAGGTAAAGAAACAATTTGAATAGCGGCAGTCTTTGATGATATTTGAGTGGTGAGATAGGCAGAGGAGGCAGTGACTGGAGAAGATTTAGAGATGAAAAGGTCGAGGGAGGGTTTTGTTCTGGTGTTAAGGTATTTTTAAGATGGGAGAAATTTGATCACGGTTCACTGTTTATGGGGGAAAGCCAGGAGAGACATGAGAGGGTAGGTGATGGTACAAGGCCCCCCTCAAGATGCGGCAGTCCAGGTCCAGCAAGAAGGGACACCTCTTCCCTTGCGCCGGGAAGAACAGTGGCAGAAAGTCAAGGGGGTTTGGCTGAGGCTTCTCTTTTTTTAAGGAGTAGAGGTCAGAGTCACGCGCTGAGGGCAGTAAGAGAGGTGGTGGCGGCAAGGTCAGAGATAGGAGGAAAGTAGAGAGTTAACAAAGATGTCGTGGGAAACTGGAGACAAGTTCCAGGTAGCATGAATAACTATCCCATTTATAGTAGGAATCCTGTCAAGGATTTCAGAGGCCGCGATGACCTACCTGTGTGTTGTCCACCTGAGTGTTGATGTGGTCCAGGAAGCAAGCAAGATCGCAAGATGGGTTGCAAGACATTGAGCCAGGCTCAAGTTGCCAGTGAATGTGGGACAGTAGCCACAGAGGTTACTAGATGGCAGTGAGGAAAAGGGGGTACAGTTTACTGCAGCTAAATGATACGGGCTCAGAGAAAGAGTTTTTCCATAGTGATGGTGGAATGATGGTCTCTATATGCCGTTAGGGAGTTCTGGGATGTAGAAGACATGGAGTCACCCTTTGAGAAGATGGCTGATGAGATGGGCCCCTCAGGAACGAGGCAGGTTGCTGTAAGGAGGAAGAGGTAGAGGGAACATTCTGTCTTGTGGTTCAGAATTGAGATGAGCTTATTGGAGATGCTCCATGGCACCAGATGAAGTTTGGAACATACTTTTGGGGAGCATAGGTATTTAGGGAATGAATAACAAAGATTATAATGGTCAAGAAGGAGAAACTTAAGATTGCTGCCTATATAATACCTATTATCTGAAGGTAGCTTCATAGTTTTAAAGTGCTTACAAACTTTTTTGTTCCTTAAGATTTTTTTCCCCTTCCTTTGACATTGGTTACAGATAAGTGTGGTGGTATGTTATATCAATATCAGCAAAATTAAATTACAGTTTCCAAAAAAAGAGCATTTTGTGGTTCTTTAATTTAAAATTTTACTAGGAGATAGTTATTTAAAGGTAAATGCTCTAAGATAAAAATGTTTGATGACATTCTTTCTGAAACATATTTTAATCTCGATTTTATTTAGGCAAATGTGTACAATTTTGAGTAGCTAAGTCAGAGTCAAATCAATTGACCACTTAATAGTAATAATTATCATACTTTCTTTTTGATGTATAGGCATGTAAAGTTGAAGATTTGGGCAAAGTGGATTTTGAAGATGAAATTAAGAAAAGATTTAAGATGGTATATGTACCAAATTGGTTCTCAGTAGACTTAAAAACAGGGGTAAGTTAGCAGTTGATATTTGTGCAATTTGGGATAGTTGAAAATTTCTCATATAGCTGAGGATTAAGTATTAGTTTTGGAGTCCTGTGTTTTTAAGTTTGAAAGGAGAAGATTTTATGCAGTTTAAATGCCTTTTTATATCCCAGTATATTAAATTGTAGTTGCATTGAATCATACAAAACACATTTTTGATTCTGAATCTGTGGCTTAGCACTCTAGTCAAATAGTGCAAATAAATAAGGATTTAGAGACTTACTTGAAGAATGTATTCAAATAGAATGCCACTAAACAATTTTTCTCTTTTGACAGATGTTGACAATTACTTTGGATGAGAGTGACTGCTTTGCTGCTTGGGTTTCTGCAAAAGATGCTGGCTTCAGCAGCCCCGATGGGTCAGATCCAAAATGTGAGTTTGTGTCCTTCCTTTCCTACCTCCTTCCAAAAGAGTAGGTAGATCTGTGCTGGTTTTTGGCTATATGCGCATCTTTTTTGTTTATAAACAATATTTGGGTTTTTTAAAAATTATTTTTCAAGAAATCTATATTTAATTCTCTCATATGGAAATGGAAAATATTCCATTTTAACTGTTTTGGGATCTTGAGTTTTCTCACAATGTATGACTTAGCTTTAACAATTAAAGCTACTCTCTACCCTTAAAGCATTCTAGAAATCTGTTAGGTAAGGATAAGTGAAGCTAGGAAACAGTTTTCCCCCCTCCAATTAAAAAAAAGCATTATTGAAGTATAATTGACATATCATTTGTTGGTTTCAGAGGTACAGGATAATGATTCAGTATTTGTGTATATTACAAAATAATCACAACAGTAAATCTAGTTAATAGCTAACATCTGTTGCCATGTATAGAAAGTTTTTCTCGAGACTTTTTAAGATCTACTCTCTTATTAACTTTCAAATATGCAATACAGTATTAGTAAATATAGTCACCATTCTGTATGTCACATCCCCATGACGAATGTGTTTGCTAACTGGGAGTTCATACTTTTTGACTCCCTTCACCCATTTTGCCCATTCCATTACTCCTACCCCCACAACATCTGGCAACCACCAATCTGTTCTCTGTTTCTATGAGCTCTGGGTTTTTTCTTGCTTTTTTGGTTTCAGATTCCACATGTAAGTGAGATCATATGGCATTTGTCTGACATATTTCGCTTAACCATAAGGCCTTCAGGGTTCATCCTGTTGTCACAAATGGCAAGACTTCATTTTTTTTTTTTTATGACTGAATAATATTTCTTTGTGTGTGTGCTCATTTGCTTTATCCATTCATCCATCAGTGGACAATGAGGTTTTCTGTAAATAATGCTGCAGTGAACATGGGGGTGCATATATCTTTTTAAATTAGTGTTTTCCTTTTCTTCAGATAAATACTCAGAAGTAGGATGCTAGATATGATAGTTTTGTTCTTGAGGAACCACCATACTGTTTTCCACGGTGTCTGCACCAACTTTCATTCCCATCAGTAGTGCACAGGGGATCCTGTTTCTCCTCATACTGTCAAACATTTGTCATTTATCATCTTTTGATTAACAGCCATTCTGACAGGTGTGAGGTGATATCTCATTGTGGTTTTGATTTGCCTTTGCCTGGTGATTAGTGATGTTGAGCAAGTTTTCATGTACCTGTTGGCCATCTGTATGTCTTCTTTGGAAAAGTCTATTCAGCTCTTCTGCCCATTTTTTTAGTCAGATTTTTCCATTTTTTTGCTATTGAGTTGTATGAATTTTTTATATATTTTGGATATTAACCCATTTCTGATAAATAATTTGCAGATATTTTCTCCTGTTCAGTAGGTTGCCTTTTCATTTTGTTGATGATTTCCTTTGCTCTGTAAAAGCTTGTTAGTTTGATATAGTTCAGCTTACTTATTTTTGCCTTCCTTGCCTTTGCTTTTGGTGTAAGATCCAAAAAAATCATCCACCAAGATCATTGTCAGCAAGCTATTGCCTGTGTTTTCTTCTAGGAGTATTATGGTTTCAAGTCTTACATTCATCTCTTTAATCCTTTTTGAGTTAATTTTTGTGTATGTTGAGAAGAGACTTATGTTCATAAGAGTCTGTTATATTTTATTAATTGTATCTTTGATCAGTATTCTTCTAAGAATGTAGCCTGTAGAGATAACTGATATATATACAAAATATAGTGGCTTTATATGGAAATAACTCTTTAAAGATTACAACTTCTGTTGTTGTTTATTCATTTTCAAATAACGGCTATATCTGAACAACCAAATAGAGTATCTGTTTGCTTGATATTATCACTGCTTTAAACATTGTAAGGTGAAATTTTAAATAGACTTTTTGAAATACGTAAAGTCTTGCTTTTAGACATCCTTGGCATTGGGTTAGGAATGTAACATCAGAATATGTAGAAACTTTTCATTTTTATTTCTTTCCCTCTATTTTTAAGTTAAAAATAATGTTTCTCTTTTCTGTTTTTTTTCTTTTTTAACTGACTCTTTTGCAGTGAACTTAGGAGGACTTTTACTCCAGGCACTCCTAGAATATTGGCCTAGGACACATGTGAATCCAATAGACGAAGAAGAAAATGAAGTAAACCATGGTTTGTATTTTTATATTAGGATAACTGGTTTTAAAATTACTCTAAAGTTAAGGATATTTAGATTGTTATCCTGAGAATTTTAAATATAAAAATTTTTTAAGCATTTGCTAAAGTATGACATAGTAAGTAGTTGTGGTGTGCTCAATTTATTGCCCACCCTTCTACATGCTAAAGAATGTCCATCCAGTCTTAACTGAGATATCAAAGAACTTTTAATTGATGAGACTAAACAGTGTATATAGAATCAATCCGGTATATTCAGGTGACCTTTGTCCTTAAAAGTAGGCAGCTTAGCAGGTTTATTCTAAAGGTACTTCTCGAGGTATTGTGGACCTGCTGGATTTACTTCCAAAGCTAGCTATTTAGGTGCATTGGAAAGCCAGGTTTGTCCTTGTGAGGCATGTTTCACATTGCCCTGAAATGTAGATATTCCCTAGTCTGATGATCTACCTGGTATTGGCTCAAAAAATCAACTCCCAACTCAGAAGTGTCAGGGTAAGTGACTGTGTGTGTAAAGAATTAGTGTCATTGAGGACATTCCGAAGCTGTGTGTGCCACAGGCAGCGGCAGTAACTCACTGTACAGCACGGGAAAATTTGGAACTTATGAGTTTGGCTCAGTCTGATAAAAGAAAATAGGGGAAAAAACTTAAAACAGCACAGCTGATACGTAACCTTGAGTCCCACCCACTGAGGACTTGCTCTGCTAACGATTCTCTGCAGATTGCCTATTTGTGGTGGTCAGCAGTGATGAAGCCCTCCTGCCAAAGACTGTTGTGGCTGACTAATTCGTCCAGAATAATTTTTGGAGTTCAAATCTGTTTTGCAAGGGTGACATGCCTCTCTGTAAGCCAGTGTCCTGATGTCCCTGTCAAAGAGAGAGCACGGACCTGACCCCACACATGATGGCGTTTCTTTTGTCACCTGGCTCAGCTCATTCCCCTTCTGAATTGTACGGTGAACTGTGAGCCGGAGTCAGTGGAAAGATCTGCTCACGGAGGGTCGAGGGAGCTAGATTCTGGCATGGGCTCTGCCGTCTTATCAGCTCTGCAGCTGTGGGCGTGCCGTTTCCGTTCTTGACTTGTCTTTCTCCATCTGTAACCTGACAGGGTGCCCTCGGAGGCCCAAGGCGCCAAGAAAGACTAAGTAATGAAAACAAGGGCTACAGGCAGCGCCTCTGGAAGGCAGACTTTGGCTGGGGAGTAAGAATAAGTCACAGGAAATGCCAGATCATCCTTAAAACCAGATTGGCATAGCGAAGGCAGGGCGGGAGCGAGCCAAGCTCAGGACGCGGCACACTCTGGCTGGTAACCCTGCTGGACCTGCACAACACACAGCGGACACTCAAGCTGCTTAGGTTATATGTGGTGGGCAGCGCGAGTATTCGGAGGCCTATAGTGAGTTGTAAGTGACGATAATAGAGATAGATGGGCATGGATCCCTCCATTCAGGGACTGGCATTCTGGGCGGACAAAGCACCGCTTACATCTGCACCGCGTGATCAGAGTTGGTGCAGTGAGAGAGGTTCTGAGAGTGCTGTTGGTTGCAGAGGGCGAGATTGTTTCCAGATTCCTTCAGAAAGTGGTTATGAACGAACTGGTACTTGAGGGGGAGTCAGCTGCAGAGAGCTGACTGAAATGAAATCTGACTAAAATGAAATCTGCAGAGAACAATAAAAATGAGTTTATGACCTCTTAGAGATTTTGTTTTTCACCAATACCATTAGTTGTGGCTGCCATTAAATATAAATTTTTTTTTCTGACTCAAATTTCTCTGTGCTTGGTGTTTTACCAATCCCCACCCCACCAGCACCACAGAAAAGAGCAGATCATTTATAAAGAGACTGTTCTAGACTTCTCTGTGGCTGAAGTAGGTGGTTATGTTTTTGTTTTAGATCTCAAACATTAATCTCTGAAATGTAATCATTTCTCATGAGGTATGTCACACATTGCCGTATTTCTTATTTTCAGGAACTTTGTTTTCTTACCTTTATTTCCATCTCTAGCTGACTTACAGGACTTTTTGACTTAAAAATCTTACAGTGGTTGGGTCCTGTGGAAACAAAATGTTTAGAATCTGTGTTGTTAGCACTAACTCTGGATACTGACGCCATCTTTATTTTTTCCTAGTAAATGGGGAGCAAGAGAACCGAGTACAGAAAGGAAATGGCTACTTTCAAGTGCCCCCACACACCCCTGTGATCTTTGGTGAAGCTGGAGGTCGCACCCTCTTCAGGTATGGGTAAGAAGGGCTCAGAGTGCATCCTGTTTGCCCTGAAGTTTTGATTCAAGCAAATGTCTATTGTTAACTTCTAGGGGTGTCTGGGTTTTGGTTTTTCACCTCCCTGAAATAGTTAAGTGTCTGATGCTATTAGACCCCATCTTAATTGAGAGATGGATGAGCCTCTAGTGATAAAATGAGGTTGATACCTTGTGGAGGTTGATAACCTTGCCTCAAGGCAGCTTCTTAGTGGTTTCTGCAGGAAATGCTTTTTCTCAGTTACCAGCAAGACTGCCAGGGTGAGGGGACAGATGACTTCACCAGAAGTTATCACCCACAGGACAACATCTGAGTAGATAACTTCCCTCAGACCAGGCCAGGGGAGATGGACTGGGCTGCTCCTGGGAGCTGTTGCGCCCAACAGTGGCTCGACCTGAGGTGTAAGGCAGTCCTTCATGAGGGCCTGCAGGCAAGTGCTAGACTGGCTTCACCTCCAAGTTGCCAGCCAAGGCCCAAGAAATGTCATGGGAGAAAGCCATGGTCCAGAAGTAAGAAAACTATTTGTCTTGCCCTTGAGAGCAGAGTTCTCTTCCTTGATGGTGATTTCCTGAGAGTGTGGTTACTGAAAACATCCTGACCCCATATTGTGTGTGGAGTGCCATGCACTGTAGCACTGGTGGGCGACCTCAAGTGCCTTGCCTACAGCCAGCTTCCGTCCTCACCCAGGGACCCCAGCAGGCAGCTGTAGTGTATGTCTGGCCTTGGAATCTGGGAGCCTGAGTTTTACAGCTTGCTTTCACTCTTAGCAGAATGTCATTCTGCCTGCCTTCTACTTGATTTCCTCAGCTGTCAATTGGGGGTTATCCTGAATGAACTCCATAAGGTCCCTCCCTCTAACATTTATTGACAGTGATATTGGGATCCGTGCTTGTTCACTTACTACATGATGAATTATGTTTAGGCTCCTCTGCCGAGATTCTGGGGGTGAGACTGAGTCCATGCTTCTTAATGAGACGGTGCCACAATGGGTAATTGACATCACTGTGGATGTAAGTGTCCTTCACTCCCACTTTGTCCTCTTACTTTTTTCCAAATCATGAAGAAAATTAACCGTATTAGATGGTATGATCTTTCATTGAAACTAGACTGCCAAGTGGAATCCTCTTCTGCTTCAGTGCAGTTCCAAAGCTGCAGAGAAATATTATAATTATGTCTCTATCTTTATTTTTAATATATAAAATGTGCTTATCAAAGAAAATAATAAATGAATAAGGTGAAATTCCCATCCTTTTCCAAACACTCTCTTCCATTCACTTCCTATTATTCCCAGAGGAAGTAAATATTAATAGCTTAATGCAAAGCCTTCAGTACCTTTTTCTGTGCATACACAAGTATATATTATTTGTGTCTATATATGTGTGTCTAGATATATGTGATCCATATATAGATCATTTTATTTTGCACAGAATCTATTGTTCTATACTATTCTACAACTTGGGTATGTTTTTTTGTTTTGTTTTGTTTTTCACTTACAAATATATTTTGGACATTTTTTCATATCGGTATATGGATCACTTCTTTTTAATGACTGCATAGTATTTCGTTGTATAAATGTACCATGATTTATTTAGCCAGTCCCTATTAATGGACATTTAGGTTGTACCCAATGTTTTCTGTTACAAACAATGCTTCAGTGAACATCCTTGTATATATATCTTTGTGTACTTTTTAGGGTAAATTCCTAGAAGTGGAATTGCTGGATCAAAGGGTATGCACATTTTAAATTTCAATAGATACTGCCAAATTGCACTCCACCAAGGGTGTACCAGTTTACACTCTCACCGACAGTGTGTGAGTGCCCAGTACCCCACACCCTCACCAATGCTGGATACGTAGAATCTTTGCTGAAAGATAGACATCTTGTCTTCATTGTTTTAATTTTTTAAACTTAGGATGAGGTTAAGCATCTTCTCATAGTGGCCATTTTTATTTCTTTTGTAAATTGCCTGTTTGTATTCTTTACTCGACTTTCTACTGGGTTATGTGTCTTTCTTATTGACTTGTAATAGTTCTTCATATTGACTATTAACCCTTTAACCATTCTCTTGCCTCTCGATTGAATTTTTACTTTGCTCATGATGTCCTTTGGCAGGCAAAAAGTTTTAATTTTTATATGACCAGATTAATCCTTTATGATTGTGAGTTTCATGTCTTGCTTAGGTATTTCCCACTCCAGAGTAGCAAAAATGTTTTCTTTTGTTCTCTTCTAGTATGTTTATGATAATGCTTTGTATCTAGATCATTAAAGTATTAGAATTTATCTGTTTGGTGGATTTATTCTGTTTGGTGTGAAGTAAGATGCTCACTTTATCCAAACGGATAGCCAGTGGGTCAACACAATTTATTGAATCATCTAAACTTTTCCTACTAATCTGAAATGCTGTTTCATCATATACTAAATTTCTATACACACATAGGTCTGTTTCTAGTTATGTGCTATTGACCAATTTTATGTCTATTTAAAGCCTCATGAAAAAAGATTTAATCTCTAGAACCTTCTAGAAAATTTGTTTTCTGTCCCAGATGAACTTCCAAGAACTTAAAACCAGTCTGACACCTGATGGATATTCTAGTCTTCTCTTAAATTTGAGCTCTCCATAAACCACTACTTCCTTTGAGTGTGAAACTCCCTTGGATGCATTGCTGACTTTAGGCCTGTGGCTTATTCCCCAGAGGAAACATCCAAACAGGATATGACATGAGGCTCAAAGGGGATTAATTCCCATAGCAAAGATGACCAATTAATTTTATCATTTATCTAAGTGTATGGTTTACATCATGTGGACATCTAGGTGGTTGACTGAACTTTCCACTCTTATTTGAAACCTCAGACCTCACTCTGATGTCAGAGGTAAAGCAAGTTAGGAGGACTTGATTGGCCTTTTCAGGTGGATAATGGACCTTACCAGCATAGAGTGTATGGTTTTGCTCAAAAGTGAATGTTGTGGGTTTCTCTCAAGACACTTAAATTTTTGTTCTGGCATTTGAATGTAGACTTGAGATTTTGGTTTGTATGGCTTAAAGAGTTAAAATAAAGTTTGTTTCCCTTTATACCTTGAATTGTTATTTGAGAAGAGCCATGCTGCAATTTTATATTGCCACTGACACTGCATATAATTTGTCTTTATTTATGTTTTATTACAAAATGAAACATACTTTTCTAATACCCTTTCTCTAAGGCTGACATAATTTGATAGCCTACTCTAAATTTCATAGAAAGTCCCTTTTAAATGTACAATAGCTATTAACTTGTGAATCATGTTTTCTTCTTGACATCATTTTAGTTTATCAACTAATAGAAACTATTTTACCTTTTTTCATTTTTAATATTTCAGAAAAATATGCCCAAATTCAACAAAATTCCTTTCTACCTCCAACCTCATGCATCTTCAGGAGCAAAAACCTTAAAAAAGTAAGTAAATGGAGTGTCATTCAATACTTTGATTAATTGCCAGAGATTTTTTTATTCCTTATGATTACATTTATAGCACAGGAGGCAAGTACTGGACCTTAGGCTAACTTCATAATACTGAAAGTTTATATTATTTAACCATTTACAAAGTATGGGCTCCCCTGGTAGCTCAACTGGTAAAAAATCCACTTGCAATGCAGGAGAGCCTGGTTCGATTCCTGGGTCAGGAAGATCCGCTGGAGAAGGGAGAGGCTCCCCACTCCAGTATTCTTGGGCTTTCCCGGTGGCTCAGCTGGTAAAGAAGCCACCTGCAATGCAGGAGACCTGGGTTCAATCCCTGGGTTGGATTTAATTAATTGCCAGAGATACTTTTTATTTGTTATGATTACATTTATAGCACAGGAGGCAAGTACTAGATCTTAGGTTAATTTCATAATATTGAAACTTTATATAATTTAACCGTTTACAAAGTACCTACTGTGGCCAGTTGCAGATGTTCAAAATAAGACATGGATTTTGTTTCTTGCCATATTCATAGTTTAGGACACAATCTATTTAATTGCTTTTATGGATACTTAGGGAAAGAAACGGAGAAGACAGTGGCATCCCACTCCAGTACTCTTGCCTGGAAAATCCCATGGACGGAGGAGCCTGGTGGGCTGCACTCCATGGGGTCGCTAAGATTCGGACATGACTGAGCGACTTCACTTTCATGCATTGGAGAAGGAAATGGCAACCCACTCCAGTGCTCTTGCCTGGAGAATCCCAGGGACGGGGGAGCCTGGTGAGCTGTCGTCTGTGGGGTCGCACAGAGTCAGACACGACTGAAGTGACTTAGCAGCAGCAACAGGGAAAGAAAAGTGTAGGGGAAAGAAATGAATCTGTGACTTAGCTTTCCAGAAAGGTTTCTTGAAGGACATGGAATTTGAGCTGGACATGTAAGATTGGTCAAAAGAAAGATATTTCAGGTCCAGAAAATGGTTTGATCAGGGATGTGAAAGTAGGAGCTTACATAAGATACTGTTAGATTTCCAAACATACACACAAAAAAGAATAGAAGAATGAACCTCATTATCCCATCAAACAGCTTAAGTAATTGTCAGCATATGGCTAAACATTGTGTCATCTATACCTCTATCTTTCCTCCCTCCCACTGAATCCACCTGCCTACACACACACACACACATACACACACACTCACACACTCACACCAGACACAGGATTATCTTAAAGCAAGTTCTATATAGCACTTCAGCAGTATTTAATGATTGATGTTCAAGATGGCTTTTAAAGTATGAGCCTCAACCATTTGATTTGACCATTATTAACTGATGTCAGAGATACAGAAATAGGTTTGGGGATAAGGAAGTTGCTGAATCTACCTTTGGACATGTAGAGTTTGCAATGCCTTTGGGGCATCAGCTGGAGCTGTTGGGTTGGTGAGTTTGGAGATCAGACAGGCAGTTGAAACTCAAGGTCTTGACTATAGGAGGAAGCCCTGGGAGAAATGTGTACAACCATCATCGGAGCCTAATGAGCACCAGGGGCTGCCTTCCCTTTCAGGAGTATTCAGTTTGCCCATGCTCTGGGAAGGTCTTTAAGGGAATAGAACCTAGAAGGCTATTCTTTATGTATATAATCTCACTTATTTGCACATAATCTGTCTTAGGAGAGGACACTGTAAGAAATCTGTTGGGAATTGTAAAAATGGAAAGCAATGACTAAGAACATGTATTGGTTTATGTTTTTGTGGTATGATTTAGCCTTATCAAATGTTATCACCAAAGAATATGGGAGAGAATATCCAGTGATTTCCTGATGTCACCATCTGCCCTTGCCTTTTTCAGGGACCGACTTTCTGCTAGTGATATGCTTCAAGTCCGGAAAGTAATGGAACACGTCTATGAGAAAATCATCAACTTGGATAATGAGTCTCAAACCACTAGCTCTTCTAATAATGAAAAACCAGGAGAACAGGAAAAAGAGGAGGATATTGCTGTGTTGGCAGAGGAGAAAATTGAGCTTCTGTGCCAGGACCAGGTAAATGGACTTGAGGACACCGCCTCATTTTTTCCAATGCTGGTGCTCAGAATTTCATAATGTGGTAGGATTGTGGTTTCCAGATCTGTTGCCTTGCGGGGGTTGAGGGGAGGGCCTCTGCTTTTAGAGAGACTGTAAGGAGCACCGGGTCTCCCACCTATTTGTGAGGCCCTTTTTGGAGGGCTCGATTAACCCACCCTAAAGCTTCCGTTTACCCAGGGGGCAGTTTTCAGGAAGGGGACAAGGAGATCGAAATGCACACGCAGACAGATGTGGATGTGCTGGTGGCTTTTTTTTCTGAAAAGAAAGCCACGTGCTCATCTTGGTGTGCAGAGCAGCATCCGCTGTGTTAAAGGTCTGAAGAGGAGGTGAGTGCAGCATCTGTGCAAATGCTGTAAGTGAGGATCCAGTTGAGGCATTTCTTCAGAACGGCTGGACGTGTCATGTCTGCCCTAGCCACATGAATTGCACGTCTTCCGTCTCCAGATTCATGCCTGCAGGCAGCAAGAACAGGCCACCAAGCATGGGCAAGGAGAGCTCGGCATTAGCAATAACAGCCTGAGATATTGGATACTTTTTTATTATTTATTTTTTGCTATTCAGGTTTTGGATCCAAATATGGACCTTCGAACAGTGAAACACTTCATATGGAAGAGCGGTGGTGACCTCACCCTCCATTACCGTCAGAAGTCCACGTGAAGGGCGGGCCAGCACTCCTGGGTATTCATTTACTGACCTTCCTCTGTGGCCCCAAGAGTAGTCCTAGGAAGCCCAGAGCCCCAGTGGGAACATGACTTCTAACGACTGATTTGGTATGGACCGAGATTATCTTTCCATTGAAGTGACTAATCAAGATGTAATATAGAAACCAGTCTCCATGTGTAGATTAAGCTGTCCCCCAGGGAGGCAGAGCGCCAGAGCAGAAGAGCCCCAAGCTGGCTGTGTGTTGCAAGATGTACTGAGGACTGATGAGAGGCCAGCACAGATTTTGCTTCCTCCTTTTGTTTCCAAGGACCTTATCTTGATCTGTTAGCACTTGTCAGAGACACGTGGTAGGGCCATGTCTGTCACTGTGTTCCAACTCCAATCCCACACTCGGGAGCTTTTCTAGGAGTACATTCCATCTACGCAGCACCTATGAAGGCTTTTTCCAAGTTTGTCATTAAAAAAAACAAACAAGTTGTTTTCACCATTTAAGACAGTTATTTTTAATAGGAATTGGCTGTTGCACAATTCAAGAGCCAGCCCATTTCATAATAAATTACTGTTGGGCTTGTTTTTAATACTGCATCTCAGATGTGTTGTAGGCAGATCTATTGAAACCCCAGGTGCTGGGTCACAGCGCTTGGACTGCCAGCCTAGAGAGCGCCCAGCCCGTGCCCAGCTGAGACGCCTGGACTGCGCGGTGGCCACAAGGAGGCACAGCTCTCTCACTTCTTCCTCCACTGTGTTTTCTTTACGGGCAAAACCGGGTGACTCCACAGGGTCTTGCTCTGGGTGAGCAGCATGACACCATCAAAACTTAAGACCGTGATGAGATCCTAACTTCTTTTAAATGCTACCTAATATTTTTGGTGTCAGAGTAAAAGGATATCATGAGTTAATTTGATATTCATGTCCTGGAAGTATACATGTTTGTTTTTTCCAGTTTTATATGCAGGTTTGTGTTGTTGTTGTTGTGCCTGTATCCAGATTTCTTTTCACTGTTCTTTCTAACAATCTAAAGCTTTCATAGAATCATTTGGATCTTGTACAGAATATAACTTATTGGGGGTAAACACTTCAATTTTTGGCAGAAAAAAAAAAAAACTTTGGATTCTCCCCAAGGTCATTTGTACTTGGAATAGAACAATGGTCCACCCCCATAAAACTACATAAGACAAGCCTCCTGTGTGAAGCCAGAAGCACAAGTGCCTTCAGAGGGCAGTTTATTCCAGTCCAGTTGCCTCCCCAGCTTGTGTGTGGCCTGTCCCCATAATAGCAGGGACTGTGGAGCGGGCGGGGAAGGTTCTTTCTTTTCTACATCTTCACAGGTTCAGCTGGAGGCAGCTGATGGGCCTGGGTCCGGACCTAACCGTTTCAGATACTCTGATCCGCACAACTGTAGAGACAGGGTTCACTCACTGCTGGGCAGCCTCCTTTGGAAAGTGGAGCGGTCATTGCCTCCAGCACTTTGAAGAAGTGAGCAAAGACACGCCACGTTTCCAACGAGTCTGTCTCCCTTATGCAGAGAGCAACGGCTTTTTAAAAAAAAAAAATCCTTTCTATCTGTTGAATACAACAGTGCACTTTCGGTGCACATTTTTTAGCAATAGTTGTGAATTAATGGCTTAAAAAAAGAAAAAAAACCTCATTCCCCAGCCCTCAGCTTTGTTTGCACGAAGGGCCCTTGGGCTGAAGGAGTGGGTCTCGCTGGGCCGTGCTGCCCCGTGTGCCGCGTCTTGAGGGGCGGCTGTGCTCCCTTCCCATCTTAGATCTGACACCCCTGCCCCAGCATGGCTGTGTTTTTTTTGTTGTTCCAGTCAAACCCGTAATAGTTTCCAGAAGATTTGACAGTCTGCAATGCCAAAAGGGTAAAAATCTGTATTTCACAGTTGTATAGAATAAAGGCTTTAGTTAAAATATTTCAAAGTGTACAGTACACATTTATTTCCACTTGTCATTTTCCTTCATAGCAGATTACAGAGAAAGTAAGAAACTTCTGGTTTTGTGTTTACCCTGGAAATAATTAGCATTGATATCCATTTTAGCCCCCAGTTTAGGGAGGGGACTGTGTTAACGTGAGGGCGGGAAGAACCAGGTCCCTTGGGTGAGGGTGACTCTGGGTCAGGCCGCCAGGTTAGTGAAGGGAAACTGGCTTCAGAACAGGCCTCGCCTGATTCTACTTCTGGATTCCTGCAGGCAGACACTGGGCTCCCAGACAACCCAGGAACCAGGTTCTGGCACTGCCTCTGGACACAATGCCTCCCTACTCTGCAGGCTTATCAGCTGCTCTAGTGGACCTAACAAGGCTTTGCTTTTTAAATGCAGTCACAGTGCAGGGAACGTGAGGTGTTTGCTGATGTGGGGCCCTCCCTCCATATCTTTGGTCTCTGCTCCCCAGAGCAGACTCCCTCCATATCTTTGGTCTGGGCCCCTCTGTGAGCCTAACAGAGCTCTGAATGCCCTGTAAGGGCACACATTCCAAATCAGATGGTAAAGGTGGGACTTTCGACTGGGCTGAGGCTAGACGGCCAGGCTGGAGGCCGCTTTCACGGTGATCAGCAAGGGCTGTGGGAAGGGGAGGGACTCTGGCCAGAGGAGAGGACTTCAAGTGATAAGGGTCACCCCTGCACGGAGCCCTCCTCTTGCTGTGGGGACCTAGGCAGAGCAAGACACACAACCCAGTCTCAGCCTCCCGAGGCACTGGAGGAGAGGGGAACAGCCCCCTCCCGTCCTGTGGAAAATAACAGAGGGCCCTTACTCACTCTTGTCCAGGCGCCTCATCCCTGCTTGGGGTGGGAGCTGTGTGTGAAGAGCTCCAGGCAGGAGGACCGGCTCTGAGGGCCTGCTTAGGATGGTGAACTTAAATTTGTTAACTTTTATCCACCACTAGGGTGGCTAGATGACTTGCATATTTAAAAGAGATGGTTGTAAAAGTTTGGGAGCTGACAGGTGTCCCATCTGGGGACACTAGGTGCGTTAGATGTGGATGCTCGGGAAGCAGCAGCAGCATGGCCCAAGCACAGGTGAGTCTCTGCTGAAGGGCCTAGAATTTCCAACTGTCCCTCAGGAGAAGGGGGCAGGTTCACGGGAATATGTGGTCAGCCTGCGCCAGCTGTGCAGAGCAGCACAGGGTGAGACAGTAAATGGGGCGGCAGGGGTCCCCGGGGTTTGGGGGTGCCCTCCATTACAGACAGGCTGTCTGTAATGGAAAGAATCAAGGTAAGCCCTATGGGAGGATTAGGCAAACACCCCACACAACCCCTCCCTCCCTCACCCCATCTTCACACCTGATGGTGCCTGGACTCTGCTACCTGCCGTGTAGCCACAGTGACTGGAGCAGGAACATGCAATGGGCACGTGACCCAAAGATGTCCTTCCGCAAGGCCCATGGCCTCTAGCAATGGAAGCTCCATGCCCGACCCAAGCAGCAAAGAATCCTCTCCTACCCCAGCTTCTGGAAAACTTACTTAACCTGGTGCTGTTCCCAGCCCCCTGCTACGCCAAAAGTATTTGTTTGAGATTCTTAGACAAGTGCCCAATTCCCCAAAGCCAGGACCATCAGGCAGAATGACTGCTGCAGGTTGTCTCTTGGAGATCAGTAGGGTCTGAGTGGACACAAAAGCGCCCCCCACAATCAGCAGAAGACACTGCCCAGCACTCAGGGCCTCCCTCAGCCCAGGAAGCACTAAAACAGGGGCCACCCCACACAGCGTGGCCTCAGCTGCCTCCCGCTTCCAGGCCTCATGAAACGTCATCAAAGGGCCTGGTCATAGCCCAGAGTGGTGTTCAGGAGTGGAGAGCCGGGCCTGGCTAGGAGCCCCCCCAGCCTCCACCCCGCAGTCTGGGCTCTCTGGGCTTGCTGGCTCCTCCTCCGCTTGGGCTTCAAGCAGCTCAGCAGACAGCCCGTCTTCGGGTGAGGCGGCAGAAGTGAGGCTGTCGGGAAGGGTCAGCTGAGGCAGGTGGTCTGTCTGGGCCTGGGCGCCGGGGCTGTCTGGGAAGGAGACCTCAAACTCGGATCCAGACCAGGTGGCCTCACCTGAAACAAACAGGGTGGAGCTGAGGAGGCCCACAGAACCGGGGCCAGTGTGGCCTGGGGCAGTCACCCCACTGACCCCCAGCTCCCGCCCCCCGTGTTGACGGGATGGGGGCGCCAGCATACGAGCGCCTTGATGTGGCTGCCCTCTCCCACAGGCCAGCTTCTAACCGGCTAAGAGACTCAGGGCCGCCTTCGCCACAACCCAGGGTCCCTCCCAGAGGGGCCGCCCCCTCACCACCACGCTCGTGAGAACCGCTGCTGGAGCAGACATCCTCCAGCCCTGAGGCTGAGACCACAGGGGGGGTCAGCTCTGCAGAAGAGGGCAGGCCGGGCCAGACGCTGGCGTTGCTGCTGTCCAAAAGGGAGAGGCCAGACACGTCCAGGAAGCCTGGGGGGAGGCACACGATTCTGTCAGCGCAGAACGCTGACTGCTGGAAGGCCAGCGCCTCAGGCTCACTGTGCCCAGTTTCTGGGGCATCTGGCCTGGCCTGAGGAAACCTCAGCTGTTTGTGAAGCCCCAGCCAGCCCCAGAGGCTCCCCACAGCCGGTTTCTGAGGAAGGAAAGGCGCCTGGGCTGGGTGATCACAGGACTAGCCCAGCGGCAGAGGGCGCTGCCCCTGCCCTGTGCTCAGAGTGCTGTGTGATCGAGCCAGCCCCTCCCACCCCCCCGCCCCGCCTCTGGACGGCAGCCTCCCCATCCGCACACTGATCACATCATCTGCGACTAGCCTGGCAAGTACGAGATAGCTGCCAGCGCCCAGCCCTCAGCTTGCTCCCGGCCTGCTCGGTACCTGGGTCCATGACTCGCTGCAGTGGAGGCGGAGGCTGCAGAGGGGTCTCCGTGGAACGGGGCAGGTCTCCGAGGTCTTGAGCGCCCTGGCCAGGACTTTCAGGCCCAGGGAGCTGTTCCTCTGTGGAGGAATCAGGTGCCTGCAGCAAGGCCTAAGGGGAGCCGGGGAAAAAGAGGAATCAGAGGCGTCTGTCAGGACAGGGCTTGTCCAGCCTAACCCCTAGCCCACACCTACCCTGGGAGCACCACTCAGCTCACGGGAGCAAACAGCCTTGGGCATCTACTGCTTCCTCTATAGCAGATGTGTAGTCAGGCAAGAGGGGCCTAGCTGGCCTCCCCTGAGGTGCCAACATGGACTTGGGGCCCCCTCCCCACTCTGCTGAGCAGCCCTATCTGTGACCCCCTGGCGTAGTCCATGCCTGGAGAGTAGTCCCCGAGTGCCCGCATGCAGACTCCAGGCACCAGCCTGATGCCCAGAGGCACCTGGGCCAGATACAGTCGCTGGCCTACCTTTCTGACAGACTCAGGGAGGCACAGGACAAGGCTCTGCCCACCCCGAGCCTCAGTTTCCCAGTCATGAAATGAAAATGACAACCAGTGCCTTGCACTCCCCTCACCTGCAGACCCAAGTGGCAGGAAAACCGAAGCAGGTTGCACGGTCCCGGGACCGTCCCCATCTGCTCCCCCTGGGTCCCACAAGCCGGGGGGCTTCCCAGGGGCTCCACAGACAGGCTCCCGGTGAGGACAGCCCCAGTCTCCTCCTTTCCCAGCTGCAGGCCCCTCTGCCCACATGAAACCCCTCTTGCCCCAGCTGGCCACGTACCTCCACGTAGTCACCCTGTTTGGAGCCTGTCTCCAGGCCAAGAGGAGCAGCAGAGTCCTGAGGGGTGGGTCCAGGCGGCGGGGCACCAGGCGGCGGGCCACCAGGCGGCTTCTTGTGGTGGCTGGGGGGCTGGGCTGGGATCCGGTGCAGATACCCGTAACCAATGCCACAGCCCAGGCTGCCAAAGGCCAGAAACACCCTCCTGGGCTTGTCCCACAGCCCTTCCTACCCCTGCCACCCCCACCCCCCAGCAGTGAGAGGTGTCTCCTAGACCAACAGCAGCCTCAGGACCCCTGGGCCCTCCACCCCCACTGTGGGACTCAAGGTCCATGCCCACTGGCCAGGCGCCCCCCAGAGCCCCACCCAGCCGCCCTCCGACCCCAGGAAGTACCTGCCCTCTCCACCCCAGGCTGCATTGGGGGTGACAGTCACCTCCCGGCAGGAGTCAGACTCAGAATTGTAAACCATCAGCTTCAAGGGCTTCCCCTCGTGGGACTCGATGAGCGAGAAGAAGTCCTCGGACTACGAGAGACAGAAGGCGCCTAAGCCCTGTTCCCACTCTGGGATGGGAAGCCTCACAAGACAAGACACTTCCCACGGACAGCACCCCATCCAGCGGGCCGGGGGAGGGGGCAGGGAAGCCTGCCCTTCCTCACCTCCTGGAGGATCTGGTCCGAGCCCACAACGTAGTCTGTGTAGGGGCGCAGGCCCGCCAGGGCAGCAGGTGAAGAGGGCTCTACATCCTGAGGAAAAAGAATCACGAATTACCTAACTGTCAGCCTTGCCACTGGGGGGCAGCGCGTGGACAGCTGTGTCTTCCGGTGGTGAGTAGTGGACCTGTCCTCCGTCCCCAGGCCAAGACCTCAAACCCAGACGCGCCCAGCCCAGCCTCATTCCCCTGCCTCCCGCAGTCCACAGTCTGCCCGACAGAGGGCAGCGCTGCGCCGGATCCAACTCCAGCCTCCCCCAGCTGCTAGCTGGGGCGCTGTAGACAGACACTTGACCCCTCTGCCCCAGTTTCCCCACAGTTAAAAGTAGGATATGTAGTACTAGGCAAAAGGTTGCTGAGAAGACCAAAAAAAAACACATGTACAGAATGAAACCACAGCTTGTCCCACAGTAAACGCCCCACTTTATTGCTGTTACTGCTGCAGGTATGAGGCTGAAGATCTCAGGGTAGGGGGGAGGTTGAAGGCACGGGTGGTGAGAAGTAGGTGCAAGGATTGCCTTCTCCCTTGGAAAGTTACACTCCCACCTCCCAGTCTCCCAAGAAATGTGGAAGGATTTGCATCACCACTCCCGCATTGCACTCATGGACAAACTGAGTAAGGCCAGCTGAAAAGGTTGAGGAGACTCCCCCAAGGGGTCAGTGAGCAACAGAAGCAACCAGACACCACATCAGCCCATTTCTAGCTCAGGGCTCCTTCCATCCATCAAGCTGCAGGACTGAGCATTCGAGAACCTGGGCACAACCAGTGACTGTGCATGTCACATGTGCATGTACGTCTGTGAACAAACATGAACAGCAACAGCTGTGACAACTCAGTCACGGAGATTCTTTAAGGTTCAGACCCCAAGCACCAGTCGAGTGCCCACAGGGGCTCTCAGGTGACCCGCCCCCCAAAACATAGTACTGGTATACCCTAGAGTAGACCAGAAAAAAACACTCATTTTAGATTAGGACTAAAGCAGCGGCAGGATTTCCCAGATGGCACAGCGGTAAAGAATCTGCCTGCCAACGCAGGAGACACAGGTTCAATCCCTGGGTCGGGAAGATGCCCTGGAGGAGGGCATGGCAGCTCACTCCAGTGTTCTTGCCTGGGAAATCCCATGGACAGAGGAGTCTGGTGGGCTACAGTCCAAGGGGTTGCAGAATCAGACACAACTTAGTGACTAAACAATGCAAAGCAGTAATACCAGCATTCTGGCAGCACAGGACCCTTCCAGCAGATGGCGGCCCCATCTTTCCAAAGAAGAAACCAAGGTCTAGAGTGTAAGAAACTACCCAAAGTCAGAGGGTCCTGTGCAGGTGATGAGGAGATGCCCTCTCTGGGACCCTGGAACAGGGAGACCACACCCTGCCCTCAGAGTGCCCTGACAGAACCATTGGCTGCTGGCCTTTCCTAGGAGGCCTCCCCACACACCCACCCCACTGTCCGCCCCAGTGATCCCACACGCCATGCCCCCACTCACCAGCACGTGCCACACGTGCTCGCTGGCCCGGCGGAAGCTGCAGAAGCGGACGCTGGCGCCCAGCAGGCCCTGGCCACCCCACATGTTGCTGGGAACCACCTCCACCTCACGTACTTTCATGGTCTTCATGTTGAACACCTCCAGCTTCACTGGCTTCTCCACGTTGGCCTTCAGCAGGGCCTTGAGAGTGTCATTCTCCTTGTTCTGTAGGGGCAGCAGGGCTGACTCCCGGAGTGACCCCCAACACCCAGCCAGGCCCCCCAGACAAGTCTGGGTCTGATATAGGGTGAGGGTGTTGGGGGCCAGCTGCCCCCGAGACACCTGGTGCAGGGCTGGGTCCACAGGTCAGGGCTGAGCCTGCAGCCACTGGACCCCCAGCATCCCTAAGCCCTGCTAAACCTTCCTCCCTCAGGCCCCCCAGAAAACACCACAAGGTAAGCAAAGAGCCCCCTGAGTCCAGAGCACTGCCGCGCGGCCCACTCTGAGAGCCCCCTTCCAGAGCCCTCACCCCTCTGGGCAGGCCTGGAGGCTTTGTGGACAGTGCCAGGAGTCCCCCTGCCTCCGGTCCACCCCAGAGGGCCCAAGAGCTAAACTCCATGCAGGGCCCCCATCGGGCTCAGTGTTGCCCTGGAAGAAGGGGATATGGGCTTTGGTCTCCCTCCAGCAGAAAAGGCAGGCAGGGCTGGGGTTCCCATGGGACAGCAGCAGACAGACAGACAGACAGACAGACACACACACACAGCAGAGGCAGGAGAGGGGCCTCACCAGTCTTGAGTGCCCGATGGTGATGATAAAGTCGAAGTAGGGCTCCAGGCCGGCCTGCTGGGCGGGGGAGTTCTCCTGCACCTGTGCAGCAGACAGGCTGCGGTCACGGCGCTGACCCCAGGACTCACCCAGAAACCCCCAGCCCTCAGTTCGAAAAACCACCCCACTCCCCCCCGTCCCAAAGAGGACACAGACAGCCCCCAGGGTGAACTGTTCCAGGCGGGCCGCACATGGGCATAGTCAAGGCTCACTCCATCCTCTCTCACTACTTTCCTGGGCTTATGTTTTCCTCTTTCAGAAAACAACTGTTTTCAGATCGTGATCCACAGACTATACTTCCAAACAGCCTCACAGACAAGCCCAGGGCAGGAGGCCATGGGGAGGCTAGGTGACTCAGATGCTGCCCCAGAGGCCTGTGCTGGGGCCACTGGAAAGCCAGGAAGGTTTACCAGAAAGGTTCAGATGTGGGCAGGAAGGGAGTGCCCCAGGGTCGTGCCCAGAAAGACAGCAGTGGGGAAGACAGCCTGTGGCCAGATCCCAGAGCGCCCCTGACCCTGTGGTGACAGATCCAGGCAGGGTTGAGGAAGGCTGGCTGAGGAGAACAGACCCCGGGGTCGGGCCTGAGCCTGAGCCAGGAAGCCTGGTGAGCAGCACATAGTTCCCTTTGCCATCCAACCTCCCCATGCAGGCCAGCCCCTCCAGGAGTAAGTCCCAGCCCAAGGGTGCTCCAGTGCTGCCTTGCGCTCCCAGACTCCCCGCTGTCTCCAAAAGCACAACAGCCAGGCTTACAGCTCTGGTGGAAATCCATCTCAAAGGCCCCATTCACAGAGCCTCACTCAGACAATGCAGCCTTTATCCCCGTTCTGGATGGAAGGTGGGACCCACGCCCTCCAGCCTTTGGCTGTGAGCACTTGAAGCCCAGTGTCAACCAGGCCCCCAACCCCCAGGGCTCAGGCGGCCTCAGGTTCTCGGTGCCTGCTTGAGGGGAAGGCCCTGTGGCTTCTGCCACTCCCCAGGCCCTCCAATCGCAGAGTAACCAGATTGAAGCCTGGGCCTTGTCGTCGCCCGCTATGGCTCCACAGCAGAAATCATCTGGGATGTCGCCCACTGCACCCCCAGTCCTGCAGCAAGTGCCCCCTCTGTCTGGCTTTCTCCCGGGGGCTCCTGACACCCCCAACCCCACAGCCTACCACGGGTGCTGCTTTCATAACCTTCTCCCCATCTCCCATCAGGGTGCCTGGAGCAACCAACTGCACGATGGCAGCTTACTCCTTCTGAGGATTGGCTAGGTGCCAGGCGAGTGCACCACCTGCTTACCCGCCCGTCATTTAACCGGCTCACTAACCCCCAACTGACAGGGAAGGAAAAGCTCTCAGTTATTCAACAGCCTGACCCCAGGAAATCCGCCCCAGAGCTTGCTCCTGCCCACAGCCCTGTAACAGCCTGCCGAGAGCAGTGACTTCCCGGTGCTCTGCACACTGTGGGAAGGCCAACAGTCAGAGAAAGCAGCCCACTTGTTCTCTGTTCGGTTTTCTTTTTACAATTAAGGAGGCAACATTACACTTCTACTTAAACCCTCCTGATGGTACCATACCTCAGCAGTAAATCCTAAACCCCCAGGACGACACACAAGGCCCCACACAATGTGGCCTCATCCTTTCCCACCCTCCTCACAAGGGCCTGGCCATTCAAGCACACCAGTCCCACCTCCTCACTGCTCAAGCCCAGTAGCATAATCCCACCTCAGCATCTCCCTCCGCCCTGAACACTCTTCCCCCACATGTCTATGTGTATGTATATAGATATATACACATATATATATAACAGGAAAAAATTTATCGTGGAACTATTAAAGACCAATGACTTGAAGAAGGAAAGAAAATGATCAAGCAGATTAAAAAGCTATGTAGGGTACTTAATTGCAAGAGTGACCAGACAAACTTCACCTTGCCTACTGTCCACTCCTTATTTCTGAGTGTTGGCTCAAACGTGACTTGATCAGAGGCCTTTCCTGACCCCTCTATCCAAAACAGCACCCACACATCACTCTGGACCCCTTACTCTGCTTTATTTTTCTCTCCAGCAACGTCACCACCTACCATACATTTCAGTTTCTAGTCTGCTCCCTTCTCTCCCAGCTGGCACCCAAATGTAAGCTCTATAAGAACAGAGACAATGTCTCTTCTCACCGCTTTATCTCCAGTGCCCGGAAATCTACATGCCACAGCGTATGTACTCAAAGGCACTGTTTTTGGCTATAAGGATATATCGTACAACACAGGGCACATAGCAAATATTTTTATATAATAACTATAAATGGAGCACAGCCTTTTAAAATTGTGTATCACTATATTGTATGCATATATAAAATTATACAACTATACTTCAATTAAAAAAATAAAGCTGCACATATGAAATGAAAAAAATAAATGTTTCGTAAATGAAGACCCAGTTCCTCAAACTTTCCACTCTGTCCCTCTCCAACAGGCCCTTCTTATCTTCACTCTTACCATCCACCCCCAGCCTCTGCCAACAGCCTTAACTTGCTTTCCATCAAACCTGTTGGAAGACCCTTCTGGCTGGATGCATTTCACTGTCCACTTTTTCCGTCTGGTACCACACCATGGTGTCCACTAGGGAAAGCCTATCAGCAAGCACAAATCCTGTTACCTCTGGGTCCTGGAGCCATTCTGCTTTTCCTTTTAGCAAACCTCTTCAGTCCCCACTCTCATTCCCCAACCCTCCACCGCCTAGTTGTTAATGACAATAATAGAGACCACTCAAAAGCAAGGCACCAAACTGACAAGCTACGCCCATCTCTGCAGCCATCCATCTGGGCACAAGGGAAAAGGGAGTCTGGCCCACCTGCGCTCCGGAGACAGAGACCCACCCACCCTCTCATCTCCGTTACAGCCCCGCCCTCTCCGAGGTACTAATCACCCCACATCTCTGTCTGCAGACCCTTCTCCCCACCTTCAGGCCCTGGAACTCACTCCATCTCCACTTCCCTCGGGACTGCTCACCCAGACCTCTTTGTGGCAACACGGATGACTCATGCTCTGCTGAGGCCCTACCGCGCTCCTCCGCAGTGTTGCCCTGGGGACCATCCCCCTGCAGCAAATCTATGCCCGAGCCCTCTGCCGCATTCTCTCTGCTCTCCCGCCCCCACTTTCCCTGTGTGGTTCTCGCTGGTCTTCGACCTCTCGAAGCCTTTCGACCGCAAGAAGCGTGGGATGAGAGCCGGCGGGCTCCCCGGCAGTTGGCGACTCCCTGGATCCAAGACGGCCGGGGACTGGGCTGAGCTGGCTCTCTCCTCAGGCCCAACATGGAGCGCAGTGCACAGCAGGCGATCGTAAATGTGTTCACACAAGTGCACGAATTCTCCTGACTGAACCTGGTGCGTTCACTCTCCACCTGGGACAAGTGCCATTCCGGAGCTGCCCGACTCCACCAGGAAACGCTCCCGCTTCCTGCAGAGCTGGCACTCGGGGCTGGCGCTGGGCCGACCGCGGCCGCAGGCGGGCCGGGACCCCGGGATGCCACGGCGCCTTCTCTCCGGCGACGGCTCCCACCGGGAAGGGGTACCACCCTCCCCCGGGAGGCCACCCAGGGCCGAGACCCCGCGGTTGCCGCCCCCGGGCCGGCGATCCGGCGTTCCCGCGCGTCGGAGCGGGTGCCGCGCCAAGACCTCCAGCGCCGCAGGGGCGACTCACCCCGTGCAGGTGGAAGCCCTCGGCGCCGCCCGCAGGCTGCTCGGCGCTGGCGCCCAGGCCCATGGCCACGGTCAGCTCGGGCGACGGTGCCAGGGACCTCGACGCCTACCCGGGAGGCCCAACTGGGTGCCCCAAGCACGGACTCGCCCTCTCGGCGCTCGACTACCCGCGCCTTGTCACGTGGGCGCCTGGCCACGCCCACCCCTAACTCGGACGCCCTTAGAGAGCAGCCAGCTGCTCGGTTTCCAAGGACGCGCGAGCCTCCGACTTCCGGCCGCGACAGGCGCACCCAGGACCCTGACCTGGGAATCTCGCTCTGCGCGGCACCACGAGACCCCGACTCTAGAGCCGCGGGCGCCCAGAGATGAGCAACAATGACTCCTCCCTTATGGTGCGTGACCCGGGCACTGCTCCTCCTCTGGCCCAGTCAGCCCCGCGACCTGCAGCTCCCCTGTTACCTCTCTGGCCGCCACCCGGCTTTCGCTGTCCCCGGCCTCTTCAGACGGTCTTGGCGCCTTCTCGCCTCTCTTTCCGTGGCGAGCACATCCTGTCTAGTGTTCCCTGTGTACCCTGAGCCCCTAGCCATCATCCCCACCCAGTCTTATCTCCGAGCTCCCCCAAACCAAAGGATAAAAGTCCATCACCTTGCCATTATCCGACCCCACCCCCGGCTCCAACCGCCTGTACCTCTTCTGTGTCCTTCACCCTAGTGGATGGCACCACCGTTTGACCCCCCCAGTCGTTACTCTTCCCCACAGCCATCTCCAGCTCCTGTCTATCAGCAGAAAATATCAGCTCCTTATTTTATCTCCTAGCCCAGTATCACCACCCTCTCTCCTCTGGGCACCTGCAACAGTCCCTCTCCCAGCTGGTTTCTCTACTTCATCTCTCTTCACCAGCGGTCTCCCTACAAGCACCACCACCAACAGCAACCACCCCAACACACACACACAGGAGGCAGAGTGGTTTTTGCACAAACACACATCTGAACATTTGCCCTACCCCCCGCTATCCCCATGCGTAAAACCATTCCAGCTGCTTCCTATTACCCTCAGGATGATGTCTGGGCTCTTTCATATGGCCCACAAGGCTGTTTACAATCCAACCACATCTATCCCCAACCCCAGCATCCACAAACCTTAGGGGAAGTGAGACTTCACTTTGAAATCTCAGCCTCTCTTATTGCATGATGTTTGTCAAGCCACAGCCTCCTTGGGCTTTGGCTTCCTTAATTGTGAAGAATATGGAGAGAATAACACATAAGATAATAGGCGTAAAGCCCTTGATACCCTTCACCACAGGTGGTTAGCCCACAATAACTCACAATTCTAACTATTGGTGTCATGATTCTTATTACTGGTCCTCCTCCTTCCCCCTTATTCCCTTCATAAGGCAAAACCTGAGTTGAATTTCTCATCAACTTTTGAACCAGAATCTGTGGTTAATTCCAAAACAAGCCATCTCCAAACTCTTTCCTAAGAAAACCGTATGGAGCTGTTTCTGTGGCTGGGGAGGAACAAGATGAGACCAGAATATTCTTTCTCTTCTCTTTACAGAACTGGAGGAGGAGCAGGGAATAGGGGAGGGAGAAGATCAGATCAGAGACATGGGCCTGAGACTATTGCTATTTTGCCTTCCTCCTCGCAGGCTGGGATCATTTACTACAGCAAAGAAAAGTACTTCCGCCACGTGCAGCAGGCCGCAGCTGTTGGCCTGGAAAAATTCAACAATGACCCAGTGCTGCAGTTCTTTAAAGCCTATGGAGTCCTCGGGGAAGGTGAGGACCCATCAGTGTTGCCTCCTGACCTTGGGTCCACACTCAGCAGTAAGGCACCGACTCCACCTGGATGGCTACTTCTATCCCAGTCATGTTCCCTTGGAAACAGTCTTACACAAAGTGGCTAGATTTCCAGGTTAATTCACAGAAATCTGTGTAATCTATATCTAGTTGACTTTCAAGACTGGAGAGCTCTCTCTCCCTGTTCTGCACCTCAGTTTCCCTGTCTATAAAGTGAGTTTGGAGGAAGAAATGACCACAGGATTATTGAACCAACCCCAGGCTTGATTACTGAACCAACCTCAGGTAATGCAGGAAAAGGAGGAAGTGGTAGGTGTGGGCACAGTCATGTGTGGGACAGAAGCAGAGAAAGGAGTAGGGCCCCTGCAGTAACAATTCACTGACATTCAGAAGGTGGTCCTGGGCCGCCCATGGCCAATGTCAGTGGACATGGAAGGATAAATATAGTCAGTAGCTCTGGGGTTATATTTTATAGCTAGCTGGGAATGCCCAGAGGTCCTTCTTCAAAACTGATCCAGGGTATCCTTGCAAGTACTCACAGGAACATCTCTCAGCTCCAAGTCCTCCATCCCCTGGCCACGCAGACCATGATGCCAGCAGTGCTTTCAGGAAGCTTCAGTCTTCAGGGAACTTGGGCCATTAGGGACCTGTGGACCAGTTAGTCCAAGCCTTGGGTCAGATCACACCAAGCCTTGAGTCAGCCCTGGGTCTGCCGTGGAGCCTTCTGCCCTCTGAGCATAATAACCGTGTGGGTTCTCTTCACAGAGCGCATCCAGGATGCCATCAGCAGCCTGGAGAGCATCCAGAATCACCCAGACGTGTCCCTGTGCTCCATCATGGCCCTCATTTATGCTCACAAGTGTTGTGAAACCATTGGTGAGTGCAGGCATGCTCAGCCAAGCCTGGCCCAGTGGGGAAAAGAGAGCCCTGCTCCAGACACAGCCCCTTCTTGGGCGGCTGCAGGAAGTGTATGCACCCCTGGCCACAGATGCTATGAGGAGTGGCTGCCAGTCCTGTCCCCACAGAGACCTCAGAGATAACCCCATGCCCAGGCCCGGTTGAGTGGGAGCCACAGGCAGAACGCCTGACAGTGGGAGGGGTACTCCTTTCAGATCCCAAGAACTGGGGAGACACCCTGCTTGCCTTTGCCAAAATCTCATCAAGAAAAAACAAGCCAAAATAAAAAGTTTCTACCCCTAAATTTCCACCTCTCTAGGATGAGCGAGAGATTCCACAAAACTATGTACAAACTATTTCCCCATCTGGAATGGACTATGGGCCTGAGGTGGGAGATTCCGGTTTGATCTGTCTGCCCAGAAACCTCCTGGGCACAGAGGAGAAACGATACATCTCAACTAGCAAACCCAAGTCCAGGGCTGGGTGGCTCCCGTGGCCTCACAGGGGCCGGTGTTGCTGGTTCCCAGGCCCTGGGCTGTCGTGTGGTCAGCTCCGTGTGTTGTGGGAGGCTCAGAGTGTCCAGGGGGAGGACCAGACAGACCTCCCCGTCCTAACTTGTCCTCTTTCTCCTCTCACGAATTCCCAGACCGAGAAGCAATTCAGGAGCTTGAGAGCAGCCTGAAGGAAGTCCGCAAGACAGCCAGTGGGACCGCCCTGTACTATGCTGGCCTCTTCCTCTGGCTCATGGGCCGCCATGACAAGGCCAGGGAATACATTGACCGCACGTTGAAGGTCTCCAGCAGCTCCAGAGAGGTACAGGCCCCTGGCATCGTGGGGGCAATAGCCAAAGAAAGCAGCGTCCAAACACATCATACAGAGTGGCTCTGACTCCTGTGGAGGGTGCTAGGGCTGGGGGAGGGTCACACCCAGACACCAACAAGGCCCATGCTGGCTCAGGGGTTAGCCACCTACAAACTGGACTTTGTCCATAGAGCCCAATCTGCATTAGGTGTTTTATGGCCTGTGCTATACAGTTTTAAAATCTTGAATTACTTGCTGGCATTTTGAAATCAGAATATTTTTACCTAAAAGTCCCAGATTTCTTGGTTCTTTTGAGAAACTGGATGAGCTGGCTCCACCGGGCCTGCATTCCCTCCGTGCAGAGATCTGCTTGGTGCCTCTGGTTGCTCACACAGTAGATCTCACCTGTGGTGGTCTCATGGGCCAAAGGGCTGTATAATTGGAAGCCTCAGTCTAGCCCTTGCATCTCAGCAGGGCATGTATCACCCCCAGCCCCCCAGTCAGTCAGTTCAGTCGCAGACTCTTTGCGACCCCATGAATCGCAGCACGCCAGGCCTCCCTGTCCATCACCAACTCTCGGAGTCCACCCAAACTCATGTCCATTGAGTCGGTGATGCCATCCAGCCACCTCATCCTCCGTCATCCCCGTCTCCTCCTGCCCTCAATCTTTCCCAGCATCAGGGTCTTTTCAAGGGGGTGAAAATTGGTTCTTGAAGGAGAGGGTGGAAAATCTCATTGATTGTATGTAATACACAAATGTACACACAGAACATAAAATCAGTCAGTGTATATGTGATACTTAATTTTCTTGGAGGGGGAGAGAATGACAAGGGGGAAACGTCTAAAAAGTCTCCTTTGTTGTTGGTCAGTTGCTCAGTCATGTCCAACTCTTTGCGACCCCATGGACTGTAGCCCACCAGGCTCCTCTATCTGTGGGATTCTCCAGGCAGAAGTACTGGAGTGGGTAGCCATTTCCTTCTCCAGGGGAAAAAGGCTTGTTAGAAGGGCAGCAATGGAAAAGAATTAAGAAACCTGCTCTAGGCCATGAGCGGTGCTCTGGGACAGGGTCTTCCAGGCGCCCCTCTGATCTTGCCTCCCAGGCCTGGCCTGCCGCGCCTGCCAGGCAAAGTGGGGTAAAAGCTGGAGAGGAGCTGCCAAGGCCCATGAGCTCAGAGTGGCCACCCGCCCACTCAGGAGGCGTTCCCAGCTTCCCATCCAGGCCAAGCCCTTACGCTGGTCTAAGAGGTGGAGGGAGCAGGAGTGGTCGTGCCCTGGTACCCTGACCCCAGTGTAAGGTAAACAGACAGCGACGAGACAGGTGGTAGTCCGCTCCATAAAGAGCAAGAGAACCATGGGGGTTACAGCTAGAGCCTCGCCCCAGCCTGGAGGGTCAAGGAAGGCCCCCTCCAGGAGGGGCCTCCTCCACTGAGTTTTAAAGACTGGTGGTGGTTAACCAGGTGAAGGGACCTGGTTTAGGGGGTGCATGCTGGGAAGGGCTTTCCAGGTGAAGGAACAAGAGGCATGAAGGCCCGAGACAGAGAGCAGGGCTATGCTGGGACCTGGGAGC